GCGTTTCCCAAACTGTTTCGGTCACGGAACACTTGCACTTTTTATCTCGCCTCGCGGAACACCAAAAGTTGAAAGAGTAAAATTGATAAAGAAAAACGGTAGAATGTAGCGGTTCCCAATCTCGTGGCGAGTTGCCAAACGCAACCACCAGAATTATGTTAAACATAACTAAAAAATGATTGAATATTTTGCATATTGCATTTGATATAAATGTTTTATTGTTTATTAATCTAAATGCTGTGTATATAAATCAAATCATTTCACCATTCTATGTCGTTTACTTTCCCTAAAGTGTTTGCCTCTAATGTACCGTCTAATGAAGATAGAAGTACTTGCAGCAGTTTATTTATCTACTTGATAGAGTTTAGCAAAAATGAGAAATTTTTTCAGCATTTCAAGGTAAAACCAGGCAAAGGTGGAAGAGGAATAGCCACGGTTATCGAAAATTCTACTACCCCACCCTAATTAGTCCACTTTAGGCCGACGGTGGCCGCGATATCGAAAGGTCAGTTGGGCGACCAGTCCACGTCCCATAGATCGTCATGGCGACCATTTTAGACGTATTTTTAATCTTATTCCACGGAACACTTCGAAGACGTTCGCGGAACACTAGTGTTCCGCGGAACACAGTTTGGGAAACGATGCTGTTGAAGAGTGGTTCTCAAATGGCGGGGTGCGCCGCAAAAGGGGTCAAAGACAATTTTTTGAGGATGCATGAAGCTAATCCAAAACAAAAATATTTGTTAGGTTGGATTTTCGTCGCCTTATTTTGAATATTTATATTTACATTCGTTTCATTTTTTACTTTCCATCCACGTATTTTTAACGTATTTTTCGACTATACCATATTTTTGTCTTAGTATCTGTTATTTGTAGCTTATAGTTAGCTTTGAGGCAGGGCGCGAGACTTGACAAATCCTTAAAAGGGGTGCGGTAAAAAGTTTGAGAACCAATGCTGTAGTGTAGAAGTTCGGTTGTTCAAAATAACATAACCGAAAGAGGCTGTTACGAGTATAAATAGAAAAGAAAAGAGTGTTTTGCAGTCTCGCGTTTGATGTATTAAATGCCTAATGATGCAAATATACTCAAGGATATTACCTCTTCTATTTGTTCGAGCTGGGCAATTCGAATCGAATAGTAAATTATTCGAAGCTGTTCAGACGAAAATTTAGAATCGCCGGCATTTTGTTTTGGAATAAGCCATATTTATGAAACACAATACTGACTTTTTCTTCTTAGTGAGTTATTGATGAAATTGATGGTATTAATGTTTCTTTTTGTGTATGGCCAACTCAGCGAACTGACTGAGTGACGGCTTTATGTGTCAGTATTTTATGAATCTGGACGACCCATCACAAGAAAAAATCTATTACAATACGTCGTCTAAATAAAAAAAATTAAGCATCATCCAAGAATTCGAGATTTGAAAAAGTATTCCATTTGATTCTGAAATATTTAAGTATATATATTCGAAAATGTCTAGGACTGCTATTTCTCTTACTGTTAAATTAATACGACTTTTCGTTCTTTTAACATACCCTCATTCTAAGCAAAACTCCACTGGCATGTGAAGAGGTACAATTACTAGAATAGCCTTAATTTTTCGGCTTTGCATTTTTACTAATTTACCATTCTGGGTGGTTTAAATTCGAGAACATACCTGAACTCACAAAAAAAAAGTTCCAATTTGACACTTTAGAAGGAAAAACCAGCGCTACTCCATCTTTGCCCCCCCCCCCCCCAAAAAAATGGCTGTATTATTTGATTTTGTATTAATTAAGTTGAAATAAGTTAAAATAGGGATGAACAAATTTGCCACCCGCTACTCATTCGCAATAAACCCTTTCAACGCCGTAAATATCGACTACTCGCCTTCTCAAGCCGTAGCGCAATGCGTCCGCAAAATGGTTGGCGGAGGAGTCGAAACTGATAAGCCATTACATGAACCACCCTGCGACTGCGAGTAGTCCAGCAATCCTCTTGCACATTGTCACATCACTCATAAGATTCAAACTAGAGCCGGATATACCATTAGGCTAAACCTCGGGGGCCTTGACGATTAATTTTGAACTATCAAAGTTTTAAATTGTGTAGCCTTGTTCCGAAATAATGATGATTTAAAACTTTACAGATTTGATATTTTCTATTTAGGTTAATAATTCTTTTAATTATGGTTTGAAAAGTAAAAAAATTGAAATAAGGACGAATGAATGAAATCGTATAACTTTGGAAAACTCCACCTTTTCTACATTAAAAACAGAGTCTGCTAATTTAAATTAACTAAACAGTTTTTACCGCAACAATGCTTTTATTTTATAAAAAAAAAATAAAAAAAATATCGATATATTATAGCTATACATACCAATTTATCCATACAACAAAGAACGAAAGGGTTATTACATATAATTATTACTATGCCAGATCTCACTAAAACGGGTGCTATGATGTCGGGTATACTGGCGCCATGACGTTTCGTATGTATGCATCTTGCCTGTAGCTAAAGTTTTGTGATTCACCCAATTTTAGATGAACTTGTGATGTCATAATATTTACATCAGCTCGAAATCCTTATAGTGACGCCATAATAGATTAGTTGTGACGACATTGGTACAGACTGGGCCTCACAATTAGCCTTCGGTGTCTCATCGACTAAATCCGGCCTTTATTTGAACCTATAGGTTGCCGCCGATCTAAATGTATTCTCCATCATTGTATCAACGCACTTGCTTGGACGAATTTAGGCGTTCAGCCTAAAAGGGTGAGGGTACTAACTTGGTTCCGATAATAAAACTGCGCGATAAAGCTGAATGTTTTTCTTACATTTTTGAGAATATTATCCGACAGCATGTGCAGCTGCCAGAACGCAACATTTCGGCGTAGTTTCACGTCGATGTACTTTACATCAAGTTGTGTAAAGGGACTGAAACCTATGGGCAGGGTTATATTCACTTGGATAACACAGACAGTCCCCGAACTCGTGATAGAACTAAAATAGGGAAAATCGGAATAAAATTATAGCCTAACCTGGTACACACACTACGGGAGTACCCTTTCGTTCTAAACAAGGCCGAACCATCGAGCATAAGTTTACATGTACTTTTCCATTCAATACATAGTTACACCTACGACCTTTGTGTTCCATTTCTATTGGGGGCTTTGTACTTATAACAAACGTCATAAAAAACAGCGAGTCGGATCCAACTGTTTGCTGAATACACTGAATGTGTTTTGCGTTTGCTCGCTTGTTATCTGAGTAATGTTCCGCTTTACAAGAATAGGTGATCAAGTCAGTAGTTCTCGAACTATGAGATTTAGGAAATTGTCTTTTGCTGAAATATTACTTCTTATTCGCGCTTTTGCGACATAAAATGATACTGTAGAACAGCGTTTCCCAAACTTTTTCGGTCACGGAACACTTGCACTTTTTATCTCGCCTCGCGGAACACCAAAAGTTGAAAGAGTAAAATTGATAAAGAAAAACGGTAGAATGTAGCGGTTCCCAATCTCGTGGCGAGTTGCCAAACGCAACCACCAGAATTACGTTAAACATAACTAAAAAATGATTGAATATTTTGCATATTGCATTTGATATAAATGTTTTATTGTTTATTAATCTAAATGCTGTGTATATAAATCAATTCATTCATTTCACCATTCTATGTCGTTTACTTTCCCTAAAGTGTTTGCCTCTAATGTAACGTCTAATGAAGATAGAAGTACTTGCAGCAGTTTATTTATCTACTTGATAGAGTTTAGCAAAAATGAGAAATTTTTTCAGCATTTCAAGGTAAAACCAGGCAAAGGTGAAAGAGGAATAGCCACGGTTATCGAAAATTCTACTACCCCACCCTAATTAGTCCACTTTAGGCCGACGGTGGCCGCGATATCGAAAGGTCAGTTGGGCGACCAGTCCACGTCCCATAGATCGTCATGGCGACCATTTTAGACGTATTTTTAATCTTATTCCACGGAACACTTCGAAGACGTTCCGCGGAACACAGTTTGGGAAACGATGCTGTTGAAGAGTGGTTCTCGAATGGCGATGTGCGCCGCAAAAGGGGTTATTACATATAATTATTACTATGCCAGATCTCACTAAAACGGGTGCTATGATGTCGGGTTCACTGGTGCCATGACGTTTCGTATGTATGTATCTTGCCTGTAGCTAAAGTTTTGTGATTCACCCAATTTTAGATGAACTTGTGATGTCATAATATTTACATCAGCTCGAAATCCCTATAGTGACGCCATAATAGATTAGTTGTGACGACATAGGTACAGACTGGGCCTCACAATTAGCCTTCGGTGTCTCATCGACTAAATCCGGCTTTTATTTGAACCTATAGGTTGCCGCCGATCTAAATGTATTCTCCATCATTGTATCAACGCACTTGCTTGGAGGAATTTGGGCGTTCAGCCTAAATGAGTGGGGGTACTAACTTGGTGCCGATATTAAAACTGCGCGATGAAGCTGAATTTTTCCTTACATTTTTGAGAATATTATCCGACAGCATGTGCAGCTGCCAGAACGCAACATTTCGGCGTAGTTTCACGTCGATGTATTTAAATAAGAAATACAAACAAAACTAAAAAACATTGATTTAAAACAAGCCCTTGTTTTAAAACATGGTATTTTTTTAGAATTGACAAAAAACAAAACCCTAATCACTACATAGTCAATAGTTCTACTTTTTACACTGGGCCCGTAAGAGCGTTATATTTATCGTCGCGTGAAGATTGTCACACAGATAACGTTAAAATATGTTTATATTCTGTATCAATTTCCGCGTGCTTGATTTTAGTAATGGCTAATGAGCAATTAACTGACTGAGCGGTGTCAATAAAATTATTTTATAAAAATTTTCGAAATTTGATAAAATCAGAGTGAGAGATCCCATACCATGCCTGTTTTTCATTTTATAAAATAAGGGATATAAATAACGTCTTTGGGGTAGAATATCAATCAATTTTAAGTTCCGATATTATTTTATTTAGATAATCTCAGATTTAAAAAATATTTCCTGCAACTAAATTATAATGGATGACATTGTGGTGTTGTTGATATTCGTTTGGAGTACTATAGCAGCAGCAGGGTGAGTCTATTGATTTCACATGATCACTTATAATTCAGGGGGTACAACCTGCGGCCCGCGGGCCAAATGTGGCCCACAGGAAGAAATTGTGCGGCCCGCGGAAAAGGGTCAATTTCGAATGGTGTGCGGCCCGCGAACTAGTAATCTAGTTTGTGCAAGTATCTGCAATTCTTTTGCGTTGCAAAGCCTATTTCTGAACTTGTGCGAAGCGAATAAAGCATGTCACAGAACCAACAATTATTAAAGTTTTTGTGCCTGCAACTACTAGCAATCCTATATCAAATTAAGGTGCAGCCTGCGGTTTCACGCAGTTAAAAGGTTGCCCTCACTTATATGTTCTTTCTTGGGATACCTTATATGGGGGAAGGCTCTTATTTCCGGACTTTCGCCAGACCCAGAAACTGTACAAACAATCACTGATATTTAACGATATGAAAGGAGTTACTATTTGTTTTTGTTTTTATAAAGATAGAGATCTTTGGGTTGCCAGGCAGGTTGGGTATGGGGATAAAATTCATTTCAGATACATGGACTTAGAGGGTGTGCACCTCTTATTATAAGAGAACCAGATATAAGTAACTGGATGAAGCCGCTGGACGCACCTTTAATTGAGATAGCCTTTTATAGTAGTTGCAGCCGCACGCAAAAATTGTTTCTTTTTGTTATTGAAATACGTTGTTACTTATCGATCTTAAGATCGGTAAGTATATTGATAGGTATTTGTCTGTATGTATGTCTGTCTGTATGTATGTCTGTCTGTGTGTCTGTTAGATGCACGCGATATCTCACGAAAGCGAGATTGAATCTGCTCCAGATTTTGCATGTGCATTCATCTTATCTCGGACCAGTAGCCTATTGATTTTGGGCGAATTATGTCGTATAATTAGCGAGTTATCAATCAATTATTGATATAGTGATCTAGATTTTTGTAAAGCGAGAGAATTTTGAAACCCGCCGAGTGTGTGTGTGTGCGATGCGCAGTGCGCAAGTTACAAAAGCGGATGAATCGAAACTGCAGTTTCTGTTTTGGGGGATCCCCTAACTATCGATCGATAAGTCTTCGGTTTCCAACCGATATTCTCGTTATAATTTTGTTGATTTTGCTAGCTAGTTTTACTATATGAACTGGTATAGACTTTGCGATGCAAAGAGATTGGAATTGCTTGCACATACCAGATTACCTAAACTAAAAACTCATTTCGCTGACACTTCTCCGCGGACCGCACAATATTTCCTTGCGTGACGCATGTTGCCCGCGGGCCGCAGTTTGCCCACCCCTGCCCTAGATGATGGACGCAAGCATAATCATTAATCAACCAGTGGTTGGACCGAAAACCGACCTGCCCTCTAGTTAAGGGTGTTCCAGTGTTCAGCAATGCCATGACAAATGTGTCTCTAACAGTATTTCTTACCTTTCCCTTTACAGGTTTTTGCATTACGTGTTCTCCAACTTCATCAGACACCATCAGGTTAGCTTTTCTTGGACGATTTTCAGATGATTCAAATATGATTTCCTCATATATATATATGTGAGGCAGAGGAAAGTCGATAACATGGCTTAATCACCGGCCTCTTGTCCGGTTACTAGTTAATGTCGGGTATGAGATTATTTGTTTCAAATGCATGGACTTGATGGTGGAGAAAGCCGGAGAAAGTCTGTCAGTAGCAAAAGTTAGGAGGTCTGCTCAGTTTAGTGTTCTTTCCATCGCTTGTCCAGAGCCTTCGTTTTAGCGAATGTTTGAAAAAAACTTCTACGAAAGTAAATGTATGTTTTTCAGTAATAAAGAATAATTTGCTTCATTGATAAACTTTTCAGGCACCAGATACTACAAAAAGGACTCAGGACGCAGATCATGAAGGTATTACTTATTTATCTGTTTGCTTGCCTATGCCTAGCTCAATACTGAGAGTGCTAATAGATATTAAAGATGATGACTCAACGTATTTTGCTTGAGCTCCTGCTGCTGGGATACTATAAGCTCTAGGTTTCATGATTCTCAAAGTTCGAAACTTTTATATCCTCCCCAGAGGAGAGGAAGGCCTATGAGGTGGCTTAACAAAATGTGAACCATGGCCACTCGTCAGGTTACCAGCCCATGTCTGTATGGGAATAGTTAACCAGTGATTCTAGATTGAATTATTAATTGATATGGCAAAATCTACGATTTTGAGCAATATTCCAAAAATTTCGTGCTTTACTTTGAAGAAAATTTATGAGACACATTTGTATTTCAAACACTATTGCTCACACCAAATTGACACATAATATAATTTTTTCGCGTTTGAAACATGCATGCAATTGCTTTTCTTGTTGTATATGAATCATGTTTTTTGAGAAAATTTGACTTTGATCAGGCGATACCGCGCAGAAATATATTAGCGAGTAACAACTAACAAGACTCTTGAATATCTCCTTTTTGCAGTCCATGATTCTAAACCAGAAGAGGAAGACGCCTCCTCAAAAGTAACATCAATTCAAGTTACTCAGGAGAATACGGAAATTGTGAATAGCGATGAGAAGGTTGATGCCACTTATGATGCCTAGTGTATATGATATGCCCGTGTAGTATCTTTTACATTAAACCTCAATTGATTATTTGGTAACTTTGATTAGTGATAGAGTCGCATTTCTAAGCATCCTGAAACCTCGAACATCTTGTGATTTCAGAATCGGATCGAATAATTTTTTCGAATCGAATACTAGAAAATATATAATTGTAAGCGACTTTATTATAGTAATTGGTCCTCCTAACAAATGAATTACTGTAGACATAGAACACATCACTCAGATAGATTACTGAGCATTCACACAGAATAACAAACATGTTTTATCAATAACTCTTTACAGAAAATAGTCATATGTTAGAATTTCGTTGAAAAAATATGACTCCAATGAAAAAAAAATTGGGGAATTCACCTTGACCATTAGCGGAAAGATAAAAACAAGATGGTGGCGATTCGAAATTTAGCTCTGAACCGATTCGAATAATTTATTCTTCGAATCGATTCGAATATTCGATTCGAAATGCCCAGCCCTAATTATGACTGCTGACTTTGTCGTCACTATTGAGAATGTGAAATTCTAACTCTGACTGGGAAAGTCAGAATTTAGAATTCCATGAGTTTAAAATACGACTCCAATTAAATCATGCCAAACCTTCACAGCCATTCTGCACAACACAAAAATATTACCGGCTAAAACACTAAAAATATTATCTCCTTTATTTAAGAACATTGCGGTGAACGTTCCTGGAGCTAAACTTCAAAGTCTCATTTGGGTAAGATATATTTGAATGGGGTTTCTTTATTGGTCATGTCTCTCTTCTCTCCGATATGCCATTTTTCAGTCATTTTTACATTCTGTATTACAATGTATTTTCAACATGGTAAAAAATGTGATACCGTGTGAGGAAAGACACAAGATGCTTAATATAATTCTGGCACCTAGCGACACAAGACTAGACCTTACTGCATTGGCATCGCGGATCATACATCTCGGGTTAAGTTCAATGCCACACACCGCGCCCAGGTTGTAATAAATTGGTTAGACAATGTCGAACCAATAAGATTTCGGCCCTTTCAAATAATGGTAGTTTCATACATATCGTTAGATACCAGTGGTTGCTTGTACAGGGTATTGTTCGGGGTGAAAGGCGTGAACAAGGTCATTGGTCCCCCATCCCTGACATTCATATTTTTTAGTTTCAAATCAAATTTCATTTTTTTTTTATTCAGGATGATGCTGTACGGAGAAGCGATAATGAAAGGCACAGTCCTTCTTCAGCTCTGAGGGATGATATTGATGACGACAGCTCTGAGCGATTCCATGAATATGAAGTATAAGCTTTTACTGATAGAAATTGGTTAATGTTACCTAGAGCCAATCCATGAGATGCCAAGTTTGATGTTGCTTGTAATGTAATGTTGCGCTTGTGCGTAATACAGGGGTCTCCATCTCAAAATATGCGGCGCGGCGGTGTGGCTCAACGGGCTAAGCGTTAGGAATACGCTCGCCACCGCACCTCTAATTACTCTGCGTGGGTTCGCAGGTTCGAATCCCATGCAGGGATGGTTATGTGCGAGAGGATTGCTGGACTCCTCGCCGTCGTTGGGGTGGTTCACGTAACCGCTGGTCGGTTACGGCTTCCTCCACCACCAAGTCCATGCTTTCGAAAACAAACAATACAGTAAAAACTAATCCCATACCCGACTTGGAATGGTAACTGGACGAGAGGCCGTGGTTCGCCATATGGATAAGCCGTCTTATCGGCTTTCCTCTCCCCCGGGATAAATATGTAAATCCTATCCTATCCTATATGTCATGGGCCACTTTTTGAATTTCATTGATGACGTGGCCGCAAATTATCTACAAAAAAAAGGTCACGGGTTGGAGACACCCGGCCTAATACATCAGGTGCTGCGTCATCTTTAATTATTCTCTGCTGGTTCGAAGTTAGAATCCTGTGGGGAATACTTATGTCATAGGGTGAATATTAGAGTAATCGCTGGTTGGTTACAGCTTCCTATACCACCAATTCCATGTTCTGAAACAACTAACAAACATTTTCACTTTCAACAAACTGATAACTGGATAAGAAACTTCCATCTATTGGATAAATAATAAACCCTATCTTTTTGCACTTACAGGTACCACCACCACCATATGTAGCAGAACAACCTCGTCAAGAAACACTCCCTAAGGCAGGCCTGGGCAAGTTGCAGCCCGCGGGCCACATCCGGCCCACGGCAACATTTCATCCGTCCTGCGAGCAGGTTTCTAGATTTAAACACATCCTTTTTTATTTACATATACTCCGATCAGGGTTCTGTGCCTGAATCTACTGGATATGTAAGCAGCTAAAGAAGTACCAAAATCTTTCAGTTCGTCATTATCTATCCAATTTGTTACACTCAGGGTGATGTGGTGTGCTTGATTTGAAACCCAGATTATTAACCTGGGTCACAAACATAGTGGTTTCCAATGGTCCTACCCTTCCCACCAACTGAATTTTTTCAAAACTTTTTTCAAATATACATGTGTCTTGCATTAAAGGAGGATTTTGTGTATGAGGACGAAAACCAACCACATGACCCGCCACCTTCGATAGCAGACACTGAAATAGAACAGGATTGTAAGTACCAAGCATCCTTTTTTTAAAACCCAATGCAGTAGTGTATGGGGATAGGTTGTTTGGCATTTTTGACGGTATTGGAATTGTACCTGAAGTTAGTGTTTATATTTGAACTTCTAGGAGTTTGGTGTCAGAGTCTGAATTTTGTTATAAATTGTTATAAAATGAAAATATTAAGAACCTTGTCCATGTTTTCAGTCATCGTACTCTGTTGTATAAATCATTTTTTGTGCAAAAAGTTGTTTCCAAAGTTGTGGAATTTGAACTGTTGCAGCTATGGTGTTGGTAGTAAGGCCCCTGGTATTTAAAACTTTGAGTTGAGTTATCCTTACCTTTGAGTGATTCAATATTTCTTCATTTGAATATTTTCATTTTATCAAACATTCAAAATGATTGTTTATCTTTTTAAATTCAGTTCGCAGTTCTTCTGTCATGAGTAAGAAGATAATGATAACAGTATATCAGGTAAGTTCTTTTATTTGTTTAATTTTGTGGATAGATGAGTAGATAGATGATTTATCCAAAGCAATAATATCTATCATGCAACAGGGCACATTGTATATTTAACAATGTTGCAATCTGCTATGTGTGATGACATTAGGTTATGTAATATTTCGTAAATTTATCCCGAAATGCGAGTTAATTTAACAATTGTTGGAGATTTCTGATTTAATCTATGCAAAAAAATCATCCCATGCTCTCATCCCAAGGCAGCCGCCAGGAAACCTTATTCTTAAATAAGATTTTCATATTTATCCTGAAGGAATAGAAAGGCACTAGGAGGACTTATCAATATGCTGAACCTCGACTCGACCTCAAAGTCATATTTGAACAGCGAGACAGATTAAATTCTACAGATTGTAATATCCTGCTCTGAACTTTGGGATCCCGGAGAGTTTTAGTGTTATGTATATTCTAATACTTTGACTTCGATCAGGGTTCTGTGCCTGAATCTACTAGATATGTAAGCAGCTAAAGAAGTACCAAAATCTTTCAGTTCGTCATCATATATCCAATTTGTTGCACTCAAGGTGAGGGTTTGGCTCGGTTTGAAACCTAGATTATTAACCTGGGTCACAATCATAGTGGTTTCCAATGATCCTACCCATCCCACCAACTGAATTTTCTGACCTTTTCAAAAATATATGTGTGTCATGCTTTAAAGGAGGATTTGGGGTTTATTTTAGATGTTTTGGGTTTACATTTTGTGTACTTGATTTAGGCTGAAGATCTCCCTATGAGACGTCAAACACCACCATCTTCCGATGACGAAAACAAACCTCATGACCCGCCACCTTCGATAGCAGACACTGAAATAGAACGGGATTGTAAGTACCAAGCATCCTTTTTTTAAAACCCAATGCCGTAGTGCAGGGATCGGGAACCTTTTTGGTCAAGAGAGCCATAAAATATACATATTTTCAATTGCATTTCCGTGCGAGCCGTATAACATTTCTTCACTTAATCAGGCCTGAAATGTTTACTCAAAAGTCAACACATACAATGTCAATATACATTTAATGTGATTTCTGATGCTGCATCTAGTCGCTGAGGGCCTTGAACAGTTGCTCACATGCAGCCCAAGTTGAAATCTACGATACTCATCACCCTTTTTCGTTTAGGCATCTCCGTAGTGTTTTTAAAACTCTATCGCTCTGTGATGTCACAATATATGTTTCGGAATCCCCTTATTCGTCACAATGCATGTCTGGTAATTATCTTACATAACATAGACATGTGCTGGACGCGCGTTCTCAAACGTATTGGGAATTTCCTGCCAAATTTGGCTATAAAAGAGTTTGAAATCTCGTAACAATAGTAAGCTCAGTCTTGGAATATTAGATTTTTCTGAGAGCCATATGCCGTCACCAAAAGAGCCATATATGGCTCGCGAGCCATGGGTTCCCGACCCCTGCCGTAGTGTATGGGGATAGGTTGTTTGGCATTTTTGACGGTATTGGAATTGTAGCTGAAGTTAGTGTTTATATTTGAACTTGTAGGAGTTTGGTGTCAGAGTCTGAATTTTGTTATGGTCAAAATAACTAAAACTATAGAATGGTTCCAAACATTAAAATTTTTGTTGTTAAAAATAAAACTCAAGAATCAAGAGCTGGAGCTGAATACTCAAAAATACAAAGCTCCATGTGAGTGACTACTTGTCTATAGCCTTGTGTAGAGAGTTATTTTGTATTTGCAAATAAGATAAACCATTGGTTACACACAATTATTGCAATGTTAGTCTGTCTGTCCCTTATCTGACTGGTACACCATCGCATAACGAGGGATAGATAATTTTACCCACAAAGTGATTAAGATTCCACTGTTATTATGCGTTTATACTACATTGAAAATGATAAAAATGTGATGCAGTTGTATAAAATGAAAATATTAAGAACCTTGTCCATGTTTTCAGTCACCGTACTCTGTTGTATAATCCATTTTTTGTGCAAAAAGTTGTTTCCAAAGTTGTGGAATTTGAACTGTTGCAACTATGGTGTTGGTAGTAAGGGCCTTGGTATTTCAAACTTTGAGTTGAGTTTTCCTTACCTTTGAGTGATTAATATTTCTTCAAATATTTTCATTTATTATACTTTGAAATGATTGTTTGTCTTTTAGTTTCATTTCCCAGTTCTTCTGTCATGGGTGAAGAAACAACGCCGAAAAAAGAAAAGCCAGTAAGTTCTTTTAATAATTCAATTTTGTGGATACATGATTTATCCAAAGCAATATATCTATCGTGCATCAGGGCACATTGTACTTTTAACAATGTTTCAATCTGCTATGTGTGATGGCATTTAGTTTAGGGTTGCCATACCGTCCGGAAAATTCCGGACATGTCCGGAATTTAGGGTTAACTTTTGCGTCCGGAAAGAATTTTAAAAAATGACTCGGTTTGAAACCTAGATTATTAACCTGGGTCACAATCATAGTGGTTTCCAATGATCCTACCCATCCCACCAACTGAATTTTCTGACCTTTTTAAAAATATATGTGTGTCATGCTTTGAAGGAGGATTTTGGGTTTATTTTAGATGTTTTGGGTTTACATTTTGTGTACTTGATTTAGGCCGAAGATCTCCCTATGAGACGTCGAACACCACCATCTTCCGAAGACGAAAACAAACCTCATGACCCGCCACCTTCAATAGCAGACACTGGAATAGAACGGGATTGTAAGTACCAAGCATCCTTTTTTTTAAAACCCAATGCAGTAGTGTATGGGGATAGTTTGTTTGGCATTTTTGACGGTATTGGAATTGTAGCTGAAGTTAGTGTTTATATTTGAACTTGTAGGAGTTTGGTGTCAGAGTCTGAATTTTGTTATGGTCAAAATAACTAAAGCTATAGAATGGTTCCAGACATTAAAATTTTTGTTGTTAAAAATAAAACTCAAGAATCGAGAGCTGGAGCTGAATACTCAAAAATACAAAGCTCCATGTGAGTGACTACTTGTCTATAGCCTTGTGTAGAGAGTTATTTTGTATTTGCAAATAAGATAAACCATTGGTTACACACAAATATTGCAATGTATGGTGGGTCCTTCATCTGACTGGTACAGCATTGCATAGAGAGGGATAGATAATTTTACCCACAAAGTGATTAAGATTCCACTGTTATTATGCGTTTATACTACATTGAAAATGATAAAAATGTGATGCAGTTGTATAAAATGTAAATTTTAAGAACCTTGTCCATGTTTTCAGTCACCGTACTCTGTTGTATAAATCATTTTTTGTGCAAAAAGTTGTTTCCAAAGTTGTGAAATTTGAACTGTTGCAGCTATGGTGTTGGTAGTAAGGGCCTTGGTATTTCGAACTTACCTTGGAGTGATTAATTATTTCTTCAAATATTTTCATTTTATTATACTTTGAAATGATTGTTTGTCTTTTTAGTTTCATTTCCCAGTTCTTCTGTCATGGGTGAAGAAACAACGCCGAAAAAAGAAAAGCCAGTAAGTTCTTTTAATAATTCAATTTTGTGGATACATGATTTATCCAAAGCAATAATATCTATCGTGCATCAGGGCACATTTTACTTTTAACAATGTTGCAATCTGCTATGTGCGATGGCATTTAGTTTAGGGTTGCCATACCGTCCGGAAAATCCCGGACATATCCGAAATTTAGGGTTAACTTTTGCGTCCGGGAAGAACTTTAAAAAATGGCTTAGTTTGAAACCTAGATTATTAACCTGGGTCACAATCATAGTGGTTTCCAATGATCCTACCCATCCCACCAACTGAATTTTCTAAACTTTTTAAAAATATATGTGTCATGCCTTAAAGGAGGATTTTGGGTTTATTTTAGATGTTTTGGGTTTACATTTTGTGTACTTGATTTAGGCTGAAGATCTCCCTATGAGACGTCGAACACCACCATCTTCCGATGACGAAAACAAACCTCATGACCCGCCACCTTCGATAGCAGACTCTGGAATAGAACGGGATTGTAAGTACCAAGCATTCTTTTTTTAAAACCCAATGCAGTAGTGTATGGGGATAGGTTGTTTGGCATTTTTGACGGTATTGGAATTGTAGCTGAAGTTAGTGTTTATATTTGAACTTCTAGGAGTTTGGTGTCAGAGTCTGAATTTTGTTATGGTCAAAATAACTAAAGCTATAGAATGGTTCCAAACATCAAAATTTTTGTAGTTAAAAATAAAACTATAGATTCGAGAGCTGGAGCTGAATACTCAAAAATACAAAGCTCCATGTGAGTGACTACTTGTCTATAGCCTTGTGTAGAGAGTTATTTTGTATTTGCAAATAAGATAAACCATTGGTTACACACAATTATTGCAATGTTAGTCTGTCTGTCTCTTATCTGACTGGTACACCCTCGCATAGCGAGGGATAGATAATTTTACCCACAAAGTGATTAAGATTCCACTGTTTTTATGTATTCATATCATATTAAAAATGTGATGCAGTTGTTTAAAATGAAAATATTAAGAACCTTGTCCATGTTTTCAGTCATTGTACTCTGTTGTATAAATCATTTTTTGTGCAAAAAGTTGTTCCCAAAGTTGTGAAATTTGAACTGTTGCAACTATGGTGTTGGTAGTAAGGTCCCTTGTATTTCAAACTTTGAGTTGAGTTTTTCTTACCTTTGAATGATTCATTATTTATTCATTTACCGTAAATATTTTCATTTTATCATTTATTCGTAATGATTGTTTATCGTTTTAGTTTCAGTTTGCAGTTCTTCTATCGTGGGTGAAGAAACAATGCAGGAAAGCGAAAAGCCGGTAAGTTCTTGTATTTTTTAAATATTTAGCACTTATTGGGATATTCCTGTAGTGTGTGTACCAGGTTAGGGCATAATTTTATTCCCATTTTCCCTTATTTTAGTTCCATTACGAGTTCGGGGACTGTCTGTGTTAGCCAAGTGAATATACCACCATAGGTTTCAGTTCCTTCACACAACTTGAATGTAAAATAGGCGAACAAAATTAGTTACCTCCATATTGGTTTTTGATACACACACTTCGGGAGCGCCCTTTTTGGTTTATTATTTATCCATTCCTTGAGCTCTTTCATATTCAGTCTTCCATTTTCTAGCATATTTAATAATTATTCCAGAATGAGCAAAACAGGTATGTCAGCTTATAAGTCAGATTGTGAGCAACAGCCTCCCATATGGTAACATTTTAGACGGGACATGGCAATAGATTCAGATAATTTATTTTCGTCCGTGCATGAAGATCTGTAACACAAACAATACTAAATCAAGGCAAAAGAAAACAGATTACACAATGTTTTCAACTGGCAAATCAACGAGGAGTCGCGAAAGACTGTAAAAGTCATCGTGTCAGCGACACCATGAATGCTGAAGTTCAGCAGCAGTTGACGTCAAAAAACGTCAAATAATTTAGCTAGAATTTAAATACGTAGCAGAGGAAATTTGGAAACGTAAATCGAAACGAGGAGAGTAAGTATAAAGAGAAATGTTTAAATTTAAAATTATGAATGGACTCGAGAGAGTTGGGAGAGAAATGTTTAAATGGGAGAAAAAGAAATGTACATCGTGTCGAGCAAAAGTGATTTATTGTCACATTGGTGTCCGGGTAAGTCAAAAAGACGCGTTTACGGCGATTCACATGTCAGTTTTGTCTCACAGCGTCATGCGCGGGTGAACACAGTAGCAAAAATAAAATTGCAGTCAAGCACGACGCCGCAAAGCCATGGTAATAGGTCCAACTTAATTGCCCAAGATGCACTGGCTGTTGGGGTAACAAGTTGGATTGGGGTAGGATGTTAGGATAAGCCATAATTGATAACTTTGAAATTAAACAACTTTTGACAGAGTGTCCAGCGCATACCCATCCATGCAGGGAAATCAACAATACTAGGCTGAAAATTTTTTTTACAGTCAACATGATGTGCCTACTGTTGGATTTATTGAAACAAGCTATATACGTGACCCAACAATATCTTATTCTTGTTAATTTCAGACTACCATTCCGTCATTCTTGCCCAGACAACGTGATGAATTTATAGACAATTCGTTCAATCCATTTTCCTTTACTGTCGGTCGTAATGGATGCGTTGTGAAGACTCCATATGCTGAAATTATATTTCCTTGCGATGCGGTCGATGAAAAGATAGAAATAACAGTCCGACCTGACTATTACAGATTGAAAGAAAAGGTAAATTACAAAGTCAACAATTTTTCAGAAGGAAAAGGAATATTTGACTTTGAATTAATTCTACGCCCATTCTCAGTGATAAAAGTTGAATTTTATGAGACTGTAATCCATAGGATGAGCCCTTAACAAATAGGAGCTTATAAATCTAAGGGCTGGAAAGGAAGGTGAGAGAGGGACAGCAAATCTTACCTTAAAATAGGTAACTCGATAATTGCTTTTGATCCATGAATATACAGTAGTTGATTCTAGAAGTCAGCTTGTGGTTACCAGAAGCTCCATCGCAGTATATTTTTCCATTGTTAATTATAATGATAGGACTTACATATTTATCCCGGGGAAAGGAAAACCGATAAGATGGCTTAATCATATGACGAACCACGGCTTCTCGTCTGGTTAGCATTTCATATCAGGTATGGAATTAGTTAGTTTTTGTTTTCGGAAGCATGAACTTGGTGGTGGAGGAAGCCGTAACTGGAACACCCAACGACGGCGAGGAGTCCAGCAATCCTCTCCCACATACCCATCTCTGCATGGGATTCGAACCTGCGAACCCACACAGAGTAAATATGTAATTCTTATATCAAATGCATGGGATTCGAACCTGAGATGCCAACATCGTTAAGTGTACGTTTCAACCACTAAGGCATCACACCGCTCTCGAAATTGGCATTTGTCTCTCAACACTAGGTGCTTGTAATCCCACAATTAGAAATATTTTACGGCCAACATAATTTTTGTTTTTTATGTTTCTATCGAACAGCTGATTGATGATTCTCGCATATACGTTTCACCAGAAATCTTTTTTGAATCAAAGGACGAGATGACGTTTAAGAATGAAGTGACAATATACCTGGAAGTCATGTACTCTGCAATTGATCCTGACGATCCACTTATTCTTAATGTAAGTCCTCAATGATATACCATGTTTATTGCTGTTTAACAAGTAAGATTGTTTAGGAGATGAGAAACATTCTAAATATTTCTTTCTTTCTTAGCTATTGTGGTAAAAAGCTATTTAGACTGTTCTTTCAGATTGAAATTTCAACTTCTGATTGTCACATCTCACATGCATTTTTTTAGTATTTTTCTCATATTATAATAATAACATGGACTCCTTTTCAGGTTGAGAGGATTGACGATGGTGTTGTGGAGAAATATTTGAAGTTGGAGCATGGACAAGGTACAAAAGCTGAATTCAAAGTTAAAACCTTCTGTGGGTAAGCATTACTGTGTTGAAAAAAATTAAGGATTTACGTATTTATTCTGGGCAAGGAAATATGGCTCAATCATGTGGCATACCACGGCATCTGATCCAATGAATCTGGATTCTATAAGGGTAAATTCTATTGTGCAGAGCGTCTCAGATTGCTGAAACGTTTGAGTACAATCATACACAAACAGAAGTTCAAGTGTTAAATAAATTTTCTTCATATTTTTAGAAGTAATTTTAGTTTTAATTTTATCTAAGGGTAAGAATTTATGGGTTCTGTGCAGTGGTGGAATTTTTTGTCAGCCGGTTCCATCACACAAATGTGATATTTTCAGGCAGTTCTGTTGCAAAAAGTCATGTAAAGCTAACCGGTTCGCTGATCTTATGAAATTCCGTGAGACGGTTCTATCCGGCTGAATCCCACTACTGGTTCTGTGTATTTGGGCCAATGTTCCCTCTAATTTTTTGTAGTATGTGTGCGCAGAAATTTTAGTGTGTGCGCACTTTTTTGGAAATGACTAATATTTGTGCAAAAACCGATGAGGAAATTCTGGCGTTCTAACCGGGTAATGGGTGGGCCAACAACAAACTTTCTCCACCTCCCAACCCAGAACATTGTTACATTATATCGAAATACGTCTGTGCGCAGTAAATCTATGCGTGTGCGCAGCCTCTGAAAGCTGTGTACGCGCGCACACGCGCACACCTTAGAGGGAACACTGATTTGGGCCATCCTATGTTTTCATATGATAGCCATTGTTGTGTTACTTACCGGTAATTGCTATTTGCTCAAAATAGAAACTTGTATACAATTGAACTCTGTTTATTGAGAACAGCGGCACAACTTTAACAATACAATAAAACAGCGATTATAAACAAACGTCTACAGGTTAACACAACTGTATATCGACTGGTGAGCCAGACGAATAGATGAGATGCATTGCGCCGCAACAATTAGGAGTTGTCGCGCTTTTCATCATTTGAGAAATCACATTACGTCACAGTCATTACACAACACTATAGCAGTTATTTTATTTTTACAATTATTTTCTAATTCTTACTTGAATTACTTTTGCTAGGTTCTGCATCTCTGCTCTGAAATCTGAGTATCCAAAAGCCAAACGGCATTTTTACTCAATTATTTGTCTTCGTCAACCTCCTAAAGAAACTCCAACGCATCATCATGTCCACTGGTATATTTTCGATCGGTGTGAGATTGAGGTTCGCAGCAAATCTGCTTCGATAAAAGACTTGGGTTTTTACACTCTGGGACTGCCTGAAAGTTTTGCTGTCAAGTAAGTTCTGTATGTTTTTTTATTTTTTTAATATTTCATGGATGTTGTCACATCTTTGATTTTGAACAAGACCTTGCAAAACATATGCAATCATACTATGAAGTTATCGGTTTCGAAAAGACAAGCGTTTTGATAAGCCATGGTTCATCTCACATCTGACGTCGAATAATTGACAGTCAGGGTCTAATCTTTAGCTTGCAAGACTAAGGCAGAAGGTGTTGATAGTAATATATATTGGCAGTTGGCATATCATGCTAAGTATTGAAATCACACTTGTCATCGCACCTCTGATTACCATCATGAGTTTGCAAGTTCGAATCCTGTGGCTGATTTTTATGTGCAAGAAGATCGCTACACTCCTCGCTACTGCAGGGTGGTTAGTGTGGGTGCCGGTCGGTGTCGGCTTCATCCTTCATCAAGTCCATACATAAAAAAAAAAACTGGTCAACTACTCGACATGGAGTAGACTAACAATTTTCTCACCTATAATCATCTTCCACAGGATTCAAACCTGTGATGTCAAATGCGATCCTAACACCGAGCAGAATGCCTAAAATTTAATATCCAATACATTTTTATATTCAAGGTACGGCAGAAATATTCGGCTGCGGTTCCAGTCGAATCGAAAAGTTCGAATTGCAAGCAGAAAAGTCGAACTGGTGCAATTTTGGGGTGACCCATTGAGCAGAGATGAAAAATTCACCATTGATGGCAATAAGATAGATCTTTCAGGGGGTGAAGATGATGAAGAGCCGGTGATAAAGTATACTATAACTGAGATAGATGCATCGAATGAAGACACATCCGTTGTACTGTATAACTCTGTACCATTTAGTTGGCTGGTCCCTGCTTACAAAACAGAGTTTGTGATGAAGGGTGATAACAGCGTTGGTGTTCAAAACACATACTATGAACATACTAGAATGGAAATACCAGCAAAGCAAACACCGCACAGTGGCCAAGTAGCACAAAATCCAAACGAAGGAAACGCTGTGGATGCAGTTTATCAAGGGCAGTCTTGTGACGTACAGGAACGAAGATTCAACCAATGTCCGGCTGGTGGAGCCATAGGTGGTCACAACCCTGATGATCACCGAAGAAATGCACGTATAAATTACGGAAGCATGCCCTCGCAAAGGTATAACCCCACATCTCAAGGTCAATTAACCTCAGATGATAGGGCCCACTCAAGTCAAGGCCAGAATGTGGTCGGTTATAACTCAACAGAGACTGTTGATTATAAAAATAATGAAGAGCATCTGCACAGCAATCAGCATCAACTACCAGGAAATCGGTCCAAAGATTTTGAGAATGAACAGCAAATGGGGGAATCAAGTGGTCAGAGAATCCCAAAGCTTAGCGATTCAAAAAGTAGTGGAGGGTCTAGAAAAAAAGAGAAAGGAAAAAAGGGTTGGAAAAGTATTTACGGAAGAAGTAAAAAAACTATTTCATGTCTACAAGAAAGTTTCCAGTCTCCAATAAACGAATAGATTTTATATATACGGTATATAAATGCTGATGGGATCTCAATTCATAAACGACTTTAGGCTTTCCTGGATGAAGTTCAGATGTTTGTCACTTTACCATTTTTATTATTTTGCCATTCAAAAGTTCTGAGCAATGATGATAATATTTGTATATATTTGATTTGTCCTTTAATAGTTAAAAATATTGTCAAGAATTAAACTTTCTGACGCCCTTGAAGAGCCCACCACAATGGCATTCTCCCAGAAATGTTGTGAGCCTTGAAATATAATGATTTGTGTAGTTACTTACACTTAGCAATTGCGGTGTATGTAATTACACAAAACTGTAATATTTCTTTGAATAGGATCTCCATATTTACCAATGTGGCTGTAGTTATCGACTGGCAAAATTTATTATACTGGTCATGATTGGATGTAACTGCAACGCTTGATTACCTTAACTTAACCATATTTAGACTAACCAGATTAGACTAACGCTTGATTACCTTAACTTAGCCATATTTTTATGTTGAAGGGTCCTGCAATTCTCCTACATATTATCGTGGGGTGGATACATAATGATTAGCAAATTGATAGGCAATCTTATTTCCAAGTAATTTTAAGCTAGTTGGACAGACACGAAGAGAACCTATGGATCGTTTTGTGGTTCATGTTGCTGTAAAAAAATCGCTTCTCTTCAACTGCTGGACCAATAGCTTTGAAATTTTCAGTGGCTAAAGATTACTGTTGTCGCTAGAATATCTATTATTGCTTTTAAAAAAAACTTGTGGGCCTTTTGTGGGATTATGTGTGAAAACATCAGCAAGATTGCGCACTGTGGAAGTTCGCATTCTTTGCTATCTGGTGATCAGCCGAAATTGGAAAGTCTGTATTTGCCGTAAAAGATTAGATACCTTACCAATTCGTTTTGATCTTTGTGCCGATATATTTTAGCATTGCTCTCTTTTTTTAACTTTTGAACTTTTATTATTTACCCGTATCTTTGAATCTATGAATATAAATGAGCTACATTAATCTGTGCAGATTTTAAATTTTTTCAGAATATAATTTTTAAAATTTGAAAGATTGTTTTTTCCTAGTGAATTAAATGATTTTATATTGTAAAAGACTACGAGTAGTTTGATTATAAACTGAAAACTAATTTCTAAAATCACTGTAGTCCCAACTCCCAACATACTATGCATGCCCAAAATGCTGTTGGTGGTAATGTATCAAAGGCAAAAGTTATCTAGTCAAGTCACGTTTATTTCGTCAAACCAGAAAAAATATGACACGAGCCCAAAATTATGAAAAAACGAGATACTCCCGTAGTATGTGTACTAGGTTAATTTTATTCCGAATTTCCTTATTTTAGTTCTATTACGAGTTCGAGGCCTGTCTGTGTTAACCAAGTAAATATCCCCCCTGCCCATAGGTTTTAGTCCGTTTACACAACTTGATGTAAAGTAGGCGAAAAAAATTACCTTCATATTGGTACACATAATTCTGCGGCGCTGAAAACGATAATTACAGTTTTACTGGAAAAGGAAATTCGCGAGGAACCAAAGCTATATTTTTAGTATTCTGGGCCATCTTGGGAAACCTTGATGAAGGAGTTTCTACAGCCAGATTTCTGTTAACCACTTACACATTTGCATTGGAATTTCAATGTTTTTTAGGAATTTCCTTTTCATGATTTGATGTAGGGTAGTATAATACCGGTATAGAGTTTCGCGAGTTGAATAGTCCATATCGGTTATGGGATTATTTGTTTCAGATGCATGGACTTGGTGGTGGAGGAAGCATTACGGTACCGTAACCACCCTATGATAGAGGGAGGAGCCCAGAAATCCACTCGTCCATAATTATCCACACAGCGTTTCTTCAACTTGTGAAATAGTCCAGGAAGCTTGTTACGGTATGTATACGCTTCAGCGCAGGGTAATGTAATCAGTGGGGCATACCGGCATGGTAAGTTATTGCCAGTCTTGTCACTTGATGCAAATGTATTTGATAGCAAGCTACAGTTTCGTTAATTTATTTGGTTCATATAGCAATACCCTATCTGTCCATGAAAAAATTGATTCTTCATTTCAATTTCTTCGCGTAAGATATACTGTGGTGCAGGGCCCACAGAAGAGTTCTGGGTGGCCCGCATATTTTTCAAAATTAAATAAACTAAACTTAATCTGCTATCTCCCACAAATTTGAGCCACAATTGTCACCTTTCATAAAAAAATATAGGAATTATTATTGAAAAATTGTACCTCGTCGTTCAAACGGGTGTTCGACTAAATGGAGATTTTCGAGACATCGCTTTCAATTTACTTCGGCTGTTGTGAGCAATGATATGGACAAAGTGACTATATAGTTAGGATAGGATTTATATATTTATCCAGGAAGGCAGAAAATCCGATGACACGGATTAACTATATGGCGAACCACGGCCTCTGGTCCGGTGTGGAAGTGGTGACTCCTCTACGGCCCACCAAGTTGTGTAAAGGGACTGAAAAAAAAAATCCGAAAATTATGTCCTAACCCTAACCTGGTACACATACTACAGTATATTTTTTTGGTTCGAATATTGACAATTTTGTAAAATTTGAAAATTTCGGTAAGATATGGGTAATTGAATTTTTCCTGATGGGGCCCAATAAGATGGGGGAGGGGGAAGGAGTGCATAGCTATCCCCGCATGGGATTCGAACCCACACAGAGTAATCATAGTTGCGGTGGCGAGCGTATTCCTTTGGCGCCGCGGTGTGGCTCATCGTGCTAAGCGCTAGGAATATGCTCGCAACCGCACCTCTAATTACTCTGCGTGGGTTTGCAGGCTCGAATCCCATGCAGGATGGTTATGTGCAGGGAGATTGCTAGACTCTTCGCCGCCATAGTCCCCCCCCCCAAGAGAAAAATATGTAAATGCCATCCTATCTAACGCTTAGCACGATGAGCTGAGCCTAGCTATAGTCACTATAGCCTAGAATCTAGATAGTTATATTCACTTTGGATATGGACGATTTATATATTTCAGCCTGTTGTGTTCAACACGTGAATTTTATATAGGGCAAGGTGTGTTTTCAAATCTTGCGCTGTGGTCGACATCGATGGACCGCGTGATTTGCTCAACAAAAATGAAATTTAGTAACTGCGTAAAAAAGCGTGTAAAAGGTATATTGTGTTGAGATATTCGGAATAGCTATGGGCAATACAAGTGTTTGATTCAGCGACGCGTCAATTCCAACGTGAAACAGAACTGATACGGTACGATACCAGTATACTGGTATATATATTAAGTTGGTGGGCCAAATGACATACCGTATTGGTGGGCCGCAATGAGTTTCCTGATGTGGCCCGCGTCACTGAAAGGTTGGACATGCCTGCCGTAGTGAATAGTAGTAGCGGTAATGAGTTAAAATATCATGGTCCTCCCAGCGTGAGTGCTGGTCACAGAGTATTATTTCCAATTTGGAGTTACCGGTACCGGTACCGTACTGGGTAACGGTACCGTACATCATGTGGCACTAATGTCACGCCACACTTTACCTGTTCATGTCAACGTAAATTTCACGTTTCTTTACTGATGAAAATGGCGGAGACGAAAGTTGCTCAAGAGCTCGTTCAGTTCTTACGGATTTCTGCGAAACCGGAGCTAAAGATAGCAGCGCTGGAGAATGTTGTTGGGCTCACAAATAATGCGACTGGAATTTCTTTCATTTTGAAGTATAAAGATGTTTTAGAGGTAAGTGAAATTCAATCATTACTTACCGTACGGTACTAAGACGGCGCCTGAAACTTATGCAGAAGTCAGAGCTTGGCTTTGCCAACCGACCCCGACTAAAGAATATTATTTGAACTTTAATATTCATTGGTTGATTAGATGTAGTGTCTATATCAGGTTGGTCCAAGGTTGTCTGCTCCGGTTGCCATAAAATTATTTTTGCATTGTTTGCGGGCCACAAAAGTGACAAGAATAGGTGAACAGTGCAATAAGAAACAATTTTATTGTGTAAATACATTGATCAGTATTTGTCATTTTTCACGCTAAAACATGCAAAAATCACCAAAAAAACTCACTAAAACCTACGTCTTTTTATAATTATATTCAGAGTAAGATTTTTCTCTCTTGACAGGTGATTGCTTCCACAAATGTAAGTGCTTTGTAGATGTAAAGCAAAATCCTAACTTTGAAAAATGTTCATTTCTTGCAAGATCCTAAAATGCCGTTATTATGAATTATCTTTCTTTCTCACCGACGCAACTTGGTGACATATCAATCTAGCATTGTGGTATATATGTCAAAAGTGTATCTATACAAGACCCCATTCCTCTCGATCAAACTTCCATTCATTATCTGTTTCAGGCTCTGCTTTCATTACTGAAAGACAAAGTTCGAGAAGTTGCAGACAACGCTTACAAGGCGGTGATAAATTTATCTGCAGATGACAGTGCATTGAAGTGTATCATTGATGATTATGACATCATAACAGATCTTATAAAAACAATATGTTATCCAGAATCATTCAATGCTGACGGAGCTTGCAAAATTTTAAATAATTTAACAAGGACGGAAAAAGGAGCATTGGAATTTTTGAAAAAATGTGAAAAGAAAATAGAAAATGATAAAAATGACAATTTTTCTGATTCAAAATTAAAAGAACTTATAGATATTTTCTGTAAAACTAAATTTAATGAAAATGGGTCTACGTTGGATCATATCGGAACAATTTTAACGAATGTCACGCAGACAGAAAAAGGTACTTTTTCTCAAGATAATTTTCATACTTCAATTATTACATGGATTCAAAAATTTGTTGCTTTTATTTGTTCAAAACTATTTTGGGTAAGCCATTATAGTTTATCCCTATTCTGAAATATTGTTGAGATCTGTCTTCAAAATTTCCGCTTTCAAATATTATTCTCTGTGGATTAGACTGTTAGAATGTTTCAAGTGTTAACCCTTTTTTTCCGCTGTATACAATCGACTTTATGTACCATTTTATAATATGTAATGACCAGTTAACCAAACGTACAAGGAACACCCCCAATATCTCTTTAAAAAGCTTATTTTCGCGTCTTCCTACTAAAACGCGCCCAAGTGACGTAGGCGAAACCGTTCGACCCTACGCGTGTAAGAAGAGAGAAATTTCAAAAATTTTTGAGAGAACGTTTCACACTCTTATCGCTTCGATGAACACGTGTTACAAAGAAACGAAATTCCAAGCGCTCTTCTGAAAGAGAGTTACGTCACCTTTGAAGAAAAACCAGACTCAGCTTCGCAAGCGAAGCGAAACGCGAAATAATCAATGATATGTGAGAGCATGTCCACGATAGTTGTCTGGAATCTTTGTTTGTTTATTATGTGCGCGAAATTGTTTCCCGCTCGTTCAAATGACTTATTTTTGAAGTAATGACAAATACTTTCGTGTATCTCTAAGCTTTGAAATACCTACACAAATAAAATTCACTTAGTAGTAAAATAAAAAATTGACAAAAAAACAAAATGTTGACAGATCAAGCACGGATCATAGTTGGATGCTCAAAATGATTTAGTTAGTGCGGAATACTTCACAAAACATGAACATAAACGTAAAATAGTCCGAAAATAACTATTATGACCAAGGATGGTAGTACGAATATATATGTTATACGGATCAAAAGAGTTAAAAATAATTTGGAAAATCAAAATTTGTGAATAAACAGTTAAAATTTCATTTTACAGGCAGGAAACTCTTACTGGACCATGAATCTCCTTTGATTGGACAATTACTTCCATTTCTCAATCCTGATTCGTCCCCCTTACTGAGGAGGCGGGGCATTTCTATGACCATCAAAAATTGCTGTTTTGATCATGGCAAGCATCACTGAATCTTTTTTTATTTTAAACGATAATGGCTATATTAGATTTGTTTAGAAATCTTCAGTTATTCCTCGTGTCACAGTTTTGTCCACTCTTTAGTTCATGTTAAACAAACTGGTCATCTATTGCAGTGGTCACCAAAGTGTGGGTCGCGACCCCAAGTGGGGTCGCCTTGAATATTTCTGGGGTCGCTGGCGTTGTCTTCTTCTCTTGGGTATTATCAAATCACCAGTAGACAGAAATATTACAGTTTATTATAAGCAAAGAAAGACGTCTGTATAACACAGCTTCGCGCTATATATTTCAAATTGAATAAATAGCAAGCACGTAAGTAAGTAAAAGCAATGCGCAATTACAAGAAAACAATTACGACATCATAATCACAAATCTAGTACACTTTGAAAAACGCCGAGCTATGACGCAAGTACACAACAGCGTGTAGTCTACATTGCACTTGTCTGACTAGCGATATTTTGAATTAAGAGTGATATCTTTTATAATAGGGCTATTATGTAACGACAATAATTTAAAGTACACCATTGTTGTGTTTTTCTGTAATGCACTATGACCGTTGCAACAATAGTCCACGATTTCAAAAGCTCGGCGAGAAAAGCAACCGCATTCTTCATACTTATTAAATATGTGATTAGTTTTTGGTTTTAATTATTTATTAATTGTCTGTAGTGTACATAGTGCTTATCGTATGTAATAATTTTTGAAACGGGGTCGCGTCTTAAAAAGTTTGAAGACCACTGATCTATTGCGATGATAATTGGTGTTCGGACAAGAGTTTTTGTATGCCATATCATTAGGTCACAAAGGATTCTAACAAGTTGTAATTTTGCAATTCAGAACATCATGAATGGCTTCTCGGAGAAGAAGTTGGAATACTGGAACATTTACTGTTACCATTAGCTGGGGGTGAAGAGTTTTCTGAGGACGAAAATGAGTCACTCCCCCTCGATTTACAATATTTACCTGAAGATAAAAAGAGAGAACCCGATTCCAGTATAAGGATAATACTTCTGGAAAGCTTATTACTTGTAAGTAATGTATTTCTCAGTGTATAATACACACTTTAAACAATAAGGAAAATTGGAATAAAATTATGGCCTAACCCTAACCTGGTACACATACTACGTTTCGGTGTCAGCCATCTTTGTTTGGATACTTCGGGGGCACAGAAAATTACGGGTTTCGGGCAGAAGCTTTAGTCATTCACTACCCAGTGAATTAAAAGTGATAAGACTGGCACTCTATGTTAACTTCTGTTGTTGTCTAAGTCACAAAATGTGATTTTGTTCAGTTTAAACTGTAAAGAAATAGTTTTGTGTCAGTGTGTAGCAAGTCTTTTGAGTCACTTATAATACTCTATCTTACTCGAAATTTATTTTCCAGCTCTGTGCAGACAAGCCAGGCAGAATGATCCTAAAAAACTCCGGGACTTATTATATTATCAGAGAATTGCACCAGTGGGAAATTGAGAATGGACCAGAGGAGAACGGAGAACAATGTGAAAAACTAGTGCAGGTAGGTTTTTGACATGACATTTTTCCCATCTTCAGTCATTTTTACTTCTGGTAGGTATTTATATGATTCGTAATTTTCCAAAAACCTGATGTCCGTCCGCTCTTCTATAACAAGACCTATTTTTTTATTAAGCTATTCCATTCTCATCAGATATCTTAGAGCCCTGTTCAATATTGAAAAGCCAATAACTAGAAGCAAAGAATAAATGCATTAGAGTAAAAAAATTCAACAAATCATGGTCAGTATTTATCGCAAACGGTACCAGGTGAAGGCCTTTCCTCATGGCCCTCAGAGGACCGCCCTGTGAACCCATACAGCAGGGGTGGGCAGGATTTTGGATTGGGACACCCAAAAAGCCGGATTTAGCCCTTGGGCCGTAAAGGGACGGAAGCCCAGTTTCAGAAGCCCTGCACAACGGCTATGCTATACTTACTTGGGCTGAACAGATCAGTACTGCTAAGTGATACAGTTACTGTCTACATCATGCCCTATATTATTAAATACCTTATAATTTCCTCATTATATGATAAAGCAGTAAAATATAATGCTCAGATATAAGGAACAATTGTCCCAAAGATATATATAGTATATCCTCGGCCATGTCATATGATTTTGATAATCAGAGTCTTATGGCTCTAGTTTTTGAAAGAATATGTCTTGGCCATTTTTGGTTTATGATGAAATGTGAGTTTTATGATTGGGAGCTTACTGACGTAGCCATCCTAAATCTCTAAATTTTGGGAATCCCCTTTTAAATTTTTTATCTTTTTTTTCGTACCCCAACTTCCACTCCGTCCCCAATTTTATGCTTTGCATTATGTACAAGAGTTGTAGCATTAGTGACGAAACCTCAATTATACTTTTATCTTGAATGTAGCTCTATTGCGCTACCTAGTGTAAGATTAAAATAGTTTTCAATCAGAAATGCTCCCTTGTGCAGTACAGCATAAAAATCTTTTTCCTAACATGCCAATGATGATAACAACGATCTTAACTTTTTTTGCTATACGAATCTGAGGCATCCCATGGCAGAAAAATAATTTACACATAAATGGTTCCCACTCGCCTCTCAAACGGCGAATAGCAAACTATACTTTTGGTCGTTGAATTCTAATTATGTCACATTCTTTCAGATACTGATAGCTGATGAACCAGAACCAGGAATGGAAAATTTATGGGAGATTCCAAATGAGAAGTTAAAACTTGATACATAATGGAGATCATACTGTTGGGCATCATTAAACAAACACATATTCACTGTTATGGACATTATATCAGTGATGGCAAGGATCGGACCCCTGACTCAGGCTTGAAGTGGACTTGATTCACTTTTTATTCACAAGTGCTTGAAGTGACCTAGAAGTGACCTTGAAGTTATCTAGGTGGAATAACCTAGAATTCTGCTAAATTTGTACAAAGCCGACCCTACAAATCGTGACATGTCGTACGCACCTGTCACAGTAAATGGTTGCAGGAGAGAATCAGTGCGATTTAGAGTTATCTGCGTAAAGGAATAATTTTTAGTGCGAGTATAAGCCAACTCCTTAGTTTGACAACTTTTTTTTTTGAGTTTCAAAATCAGCTCATATGTGAGGATAGATGAAGACAGAGGGCATGAGCTCAGAAAATGGGTGCTTTGACCATCAAAACACTCCCAAGTCATTCTTTTAATCCTTACTCTTGTAAAAAAAAAAGAAACGTTTTTTGGAACCCAATGTGTATTTTATAAAATCATAGTATCTCTCAATTACTGCCCTATCCAGAGTGAAAGATGCATAAGAGAGTTAAAAAAAATCATGACAAAAATGTTTTCCAATTGTATTTTTGTTCTTATCATTCATTTTAATAATCATTGAGTAATTCTTATTGCAGTGATATGGACTGTCTTTGAAACGTAGTAAATAGAATTCAGTCGTTTAAATAACTCTAATTTTGATTATGCTATGTGAATCTGATTCATTATCAAATCATGTATATGCCAGATTTTATGTGCAAATGTTGTTGAAACCATATCGTCATTATTAACTAATGAGTTAATAATTCTGATAATCCATGACTTATGTGTAAAGTGTGCTACGGTTATCTCTCCAGATTGATTTGAAGATGATTGATGCAAATATTTGTAGCTTTGGTTAATTTTACAATATTTTCTATTACCTGGTTTTCAAAATGAATATCTTTTGAACTTTTTAAGTTGTATATCCATTTATGCAATATGACTTGTAGTTGGAGATTTGGAATCAACCATTCTGACCCCATGCCCTTGCCCAGAGTGTAACGAATTGCGCCCACAATGCTGAATGTGAAAGATGGTTCCATTACATTTGATTCCACGTACATTTGAACCCATGACAATTGCACCTGTATGCTATTGCACCTATGGAATTTTTTTTGTTTCAGGGATAGTTAAACCCATACTAACCCTAACCCATGGGTTTTAGTACCTGCGTATAGATTGAACCCGTGGATGTACACATGGGTTCAAATGTACATGGGTTCAAATGTACGGTCACCGTGAAAGATACCCTCCTTATTAAAAAAATATTTTTGTAGTGAAAATGATAAAACTTTGTATAAAAAAATTTGGTGGAAATACTTACTGTTGTTGCCCTTTCTCTTCCCAGTCTAGGTTTTAGCCCCATGCCTTCTCTCAGAGTGTAAAAATTGGGAAATGCTGCACGGGAGAGATTCTTGTCATTTACAAAAACAGTTTTTTTGTAGTAAAAGATAAAAACAAAATAATTTGGTGTATATTTATACTAGATGCTGTCGTTTCTTTTCCCAGCCTAGATAGCAGTAGGTTTAAGCCTTAACCCGTAGTGTAACAAATTGGGTTGACAATGCTGAATGAAAGGAATTTCTGTCTATTAGAAAATAGTAACTACTTTCATATGAGTGACTGCTTTTAAGGAGCTTTTGCTCGGTGTTAAAGTGTGAAACAGGCGTACAATAATTTTTTTTCAAATCTTTGCGCTCCAGAAGTGTGTGTGCCAATATGGAGGTTATCATCCTACTTTACATCAAGTTGTGTAAAGGGACTGAAACAAATGGGCAGGGGTATATTCACTTGGCTAACACAGACAGTCCCCGAAATCGTAGTAGAACAAAAATAAGGAATATTGAAATAAAATTATGGCCTAATGCTAACCTGGTACATATACTACGGGAGTACAAAATTCTTTATTTACTGCTTTTTCTTTTTCCAGTCTTATTAACCTAGCTAAATAGTAGTTGCTTTAAGATGCCTCGGCGAAAAGGAAGGAAAAATCCCACTCCCAAGAAAGTGAAAAAGAGCAAAGATAAAGATGAACAGGATTACGAAGAACCCATGGATGTAGATCAAGATTCAGAAACTCAAGGAAATAAAACTATTGCGCAAGAACCAACTAAAATTGCGCTACGTTCAACCAATATTGCGCAATCTTCTAAAAATGATCGTTTGGATGTAACAAATAACTTGACAAGTGGATCAGAGCATGACGAAAAATCTTTATCACAATATGAACCCCTAGATAAAGTCATGCAGGATTTCTCTTCTCTACCTAGCGATCATATCGAACTGATGAATTTGCTGAGCCATATGCCTCCAGAATCTCTCTATAAAAAAGATGATATTGAAGTCATCAATCCGTCTGAAACGCAAGTCAGTGAAAAAAAATATGTCTGTCCGAAATGTGGAAAAGAATACCCTACAAAAAGTGGCATTCGGTACCATATAATGCAGCTTGCCCAAATTATTGCAACAGGCCTTTTCTTGTTAGTATGTCTCGATAAATTCAGTCGACGGAAAGATGTTTTGAATCATATTGCCACTGTGCATGCGCCAGCCAGTACTGCGTATAACACTCGGAAATCAGGCCTGAGTTTTCCTATGCAGAAGAGATTTCAGTTAGTACAGAAGAAGACTCTGTTACCATTCACACAGAAATGGAGAGCATTTCAACCCCAAAATCCTCCAAAAGCTCCAAAAAAACTGTTTCTGGTGATAGCAAGACAACTTTTGCGAATTTAGATAGACCATTACATGAAGTAATGCCGTGGCTTTATAATGTATTAAAGACTATCCAAGATCAGTTCAAAATTGTCCATTCTGAACTACTTAGCAATGAATTGGTACCCGATCTGAATTTTGATTTTTCTGGGATGCAGCGTTCCTCTCCATTTTTTATAAAGCGGGAAAATAAACCTGATTTTAATACAGAGTGTGAAGGATTAGATTTGTTTTCTGCTGTTCAAGCAACGAAAGATTGTTTAGATATGACTTTTAATGTCGGCGGACCAGTATGGGCGATGTCATGGTGTCCAGAAACTTTGACGAACACAAATTCGAAACAATATTTAGCGTTAGCTACTCACACCGGTCTTCATTCACCAGAATCAGTTTATTCTGAGCCAGGGATGATTCAAATATGGAATTGTGGGGTTTTGGGGTTACATGAACACCAAAATATGACCCCTACTATTGTTTATGGGTTTACCACAAATGAGGCCCCTATTTGGGATCTAAAATGGTGTCCTGTGGGGGGAAGAGGAAATATCACCACCGCAGAGGGGGCAGATAAAAATCGTTTAGGTATATTAGCAGCGGCTTGTGCGAGTGGGAAGGTTCTGATTCTACCTATTCCTGAACAAGAGTTGCTAAAAACTGAGGTAGAACACAATGATATGACATCGGGGAAAAGTAATTATAATTCTGCCAGTATCATATATAAAGCCAATCCATCAATGACTCTTATACCTGCTTTTGGTGATAAATTTGATGTTGAAAATTTGTTTGGTCAATGTTTAAGTGTTGATTGGTCTCTTCATGACGGGGCTGAATGGGTCGCAGGGGGTTTTTCAAAAGGTTTAGTTGCTTTGTGGAAAGTAAAGGACCCTTCGAAATTGCTCTTTACAGAAGATTTGAACAATGGGCCTTCTACTCTAGTTGCTTGTCGAACTTTTCATGCCCATATTAAATCTGTGAAAAGTGTTCACTGGTGCCCGTTTGCTTCGGTTCTTGCGACTGCAGGTTTGGATCGGGCTCTTAAATTTTGGAATCCGGAATACACAGAGGCTCCTATCATGGAGTCTAAAACTAAAGGAAGTCCATACACACAAATATGTTGGCCTAGGTTATGGTGTGGGGTATTTGTGGCAACAGATGAAGTTTTTGCGGCACCACATTGCCATGGTGTCGCATATCATTGTTTGATGTCACGAATGCCTTACAATACAATTCCTTTTAAATCAGCATGCTGGTCTGTGTCAAGCTCTGATTGGATGAATTGTGTCGTGGGCGGGGATGCAACCGGCCAATCAGTGATTAATTCTTGTAGTAATTGGAGTCGAAAAGTTAAGATATCAAAAGCATTTCCAAGAATTGCGCTTTTTTCAACAGAGGTAGAATGGCAGGATTTTTCTTCGCAGGAAAATGGCGACGCTGACTCATCTCAGAGTGACAATGATACCTCCAATGATACCTCCATGGTGATTCATGAAGTCACTGAAAACTCAGAAGAATCTTCAAATAAGCATATATCAAATCAGAACGGTACATCTTCGAATCTTTCTGAAACAAAAGACGCAGATTCCGAGTATCCAAAAATAGCGGGTTGTAAAGGAAATGAAATTGCTGTACGACGCAACGTGCCGAAAAACAGTTGCGTAGCCCCTTACAAACTCAAATTTTTTGACACGAATATGAATGATGTCAAACACACGGAAAAAAGGAAATGCCATAAAAATGTTCGCATTCACGAATTCTTCCCTGCAACAAATTGTAGGCATCCATTAGTTGCTTCTGTAAACACAGTGTCCTGGAACCCTAACTTAGGAAGTCATACTTGGATAGCCTCCGGAATGGAATGTGGAATTGTTCGATTGCATTGTGTTGATACAATGCATTCAGATGCAATGGAAACTGCCTATCATAACTTGTTTTCCTAATTAGTTTATTGATCCTCTTGCTCAGAATAAGGCTTTAAACGAGAATATCGGTCGAAGACCGAAGACTTATTGATAGAAAGTTAAGGGATACCCCAAAACAGAAACTGCGGTTTCAATTCATCCGCTCTCAGTCCATAGCGACAACCTGTGTCCAATAACTCGCTAATTATATGACATAATTCATCCAAAATCAATAGGCGTCTGGTCCGCGATATGATGAATGCACGTGCAAAATTTGGAGCAGATTCAACCTCGCTTTCGTGAGATATCGCATGCAACTAACAGACAGACAAATCCTTATCGACATACTTATCGAGATCGATAAGTAGTAAGCGTTCATCACAACATGGCGAGTCTTTCATGGTCCAGTCTAGTTCAGGTCCACTCAAGCTGAATTCTCTCCCCATCCTGAATCCAGACCACAAGAATTTGACATTCATATGCAATTGATACTGCCTATTATAACTTGTTTTCATAATTAGTGTTTTCTGTATCCAGGTTAATTTTAATACAATTTTCACAATGGACAAAGCTTTTGTCCCAATAAATATTTTAGAATCCAGATCACAAAAAATTGATTTGAAAATCTTTAATCCTTTTGAAATTTTCTGACAACCATGTGAAATGCAATCAATCGGAATGTTGCAATGCGAGTTCAACTGTTCTACTTCTGTATTCCCAGCTCTTTTGGTGCTGTTTTATATGATTATTTATATGCTAATGCTTGTGGTTTCAAAAATTTTACTCTTCCAGAATATCAGCTTTTGAATGAATCCCATTTCTATATTCCATATTTTTAATTAAATTCGTTTATGAGGCAGTTTTTAGAATTTTCTCATCCGTTGCTCAATATCTTGCCTCTGTTACCTAGCTAGGACTACTAAGATTATGATTGAATTCTATTCCCAGAGTGTTCTCTTTTTCTGAATTTCAAGTTTGAACAAATAACTGATTAACCAATTCCATGGTTCTAGGAAAATTCGCTGTAGGAAATCTCGCCACGGGAAATTTCGCTGTATAGAAAAAATCATTGCATAAAAAATCACTGCAAGAGCATTTTTCTGTAAAACAAGTAATTGTGAAAAAACATTTAGGTTTTTGAAGTACTTTTTTATTTAAAAAAAGATCCACGTTTTATGAGCATACCCTCTAATTCTATGTGGCGAATTTTCCGGACAAGTTTCCCGTACCCGACATGGTAAACGGAGGACTGATTAATTTTTCATACGATTTAGCTGTCTTTCCATTCTGGGATGCATTATAAAATTACTTTCCTTTAGTGAATGTCATTGCCCTCTGGTTCAACAGCACGATAGTAAAACTTCTTGTCTCTTTTTTGTCCTAACCTTAAAAAATCCAATCAAACATCAAACGGCAGCATTCTCTCTCCTATTTAAAGATATCATTATTCTGACCAGTCATGCTTGATTGATTTCTATTTGACATTAGATTAGTGTTGGTATGATTTGACCTATCTGGGAAAATTATTCAAGCATAAAGCTGCAGCATTGACAGTCTCATTCCGGGACACAATTATTACAGGGAAAGCTCAACGTGCTAAGCGTTAGGAATACGCTCGCCACCGCATCTCTGATTACTTTGTGTGTGTTCGCAGGTTTGAAACCCATGCGAGGATGGTTATTGTGGACTCCTCGTCGCCGTAGGGTTGTTCACGTAAATCCTATCCTGACCAGCCATGCTTGATTGATTTTTCACCAATACAGACCAGAACTTGATCCGAATAATGTTATTAAAGCATCATCTTTTCTTAAACGAATCATTCATCTCATTTCTTTACTTGTTTTTTATATTTTTACTTACTCAGCATAATTATAATTATGTCTGATGAAGAAGCCGAAACTTCTGAACCAGAAATTGAACAACAGGCAGAGAAGAAAGTCATTTATCCGTTGAAAGTCTTCTATTGTCCAGGTTGGTATTTTTGGACACAAAGTGGACATAACGATCGTTTCAATATTATGTTGTTGTTCTTATTCTTGTTCTTTGACATGATTTTAAAAAGTCGCTTTTCTTTTTGATTACTGGACCAATTGCTTTGAAATTTTCAGTGGTCAAAGATAAAAATTTTCTTTAGAAGGCTATTACTTTTTTTTTCGCTATGATGTCATCAAAATTATTGCCATTAGGTGGCGCTACGTGTCCATATATTTGAGCATAGCTCTCTTGTTCTTACAGTACTGGCTGGTTCAGTGATTTTGGGGTAGAAACATGGCAATTTTTATTTGTCGTTCTCACGTTTACAGGGCTTCTAAGGCTATGTACAAAGCGTTCACTGATCGCTTTTATGAATATTTTGATTCAATAGTAATTTTCTGATGAGTATATAAATAGTACTGATGAGTTATTCGGTAATTTTAAAGAAATAGGCTACCATATTTTTCTTTTTGGAGCGTTTTTGGAGGAATTTTTCGAACAAGCATTTGCGTAGCAAGGCGAGGAGTTCAGCAATCTTCTCACACATGGTTATCCCCGAGATTTGAACCTGTTAACCAACGCAGGGTAATCATAGCAAGCGTACTCCTATTGCTTAGCACGATCGGTTATTTCACCGAGTCTGGTGACATTTTGTGTCAAATCTCCAATAAATTGGTGTAAATGTAATAAATTGGTGATGCATAACTAGAAAATGGCTGGATTTCCAAAGGTATAGTTTTTAAAAAGTCAATGATTTGCTTGTAAGGACATTGTTTAAAGTTAAAATGTTGATCTCATAAAAAGGCAGAAGGAGACTAAATAATAATCAGTTCATGTTGTTTTTTTATATCAGAATGCACCCTCCCTCTTGAATACTGTGAATTCATGCCAGAAGCTACTCGACAAAGATGTAAGGACTGGAGAGACAACAACAATGATTTGTTGATTGCTGAAGGAATTGATATGGAAAAGCTCTCACTTGGTAAGATTTTTTGTGGCGATGGGAACCTTAGACTGGTGACTGTTCTCAATGCATTAGTGAAACAGCTTCCTAAAGCAAGCTTATTTATCCCGGTAAAATGGTAGCATGGTGTAATGAGATGGAGCACCATAAGCTCTTGTCTTGTATTTTAAATAACTTAGTTATTAATGGGGGTGTAGCCAGGTACTTTTAAAGGGGGGTTCTGAAATCTCTAATTGCCGAATTGGACTGTAACAGATAGCAAATCCGGCCGGAAGAAGTGGGTTTTTCAACAGTTTTCAGGGTCTAAAAAGCGTTTCAAGTTATTAAAAATTGCTCCTGAGTATGGTGCAGAAAAAGGCTTTATCACAGGGTGGTCCAAACTACGGCCCGCGGACCGCATGCGGCCCCCAGACACATTCTGTGCGGCTCGTGCATTGGCAGATATTTGTATTTATTGGCAGAAAATGTTGAGTTATTTTTAAACTCTTTCAACTGGGAATAGTCCTTCTCGTATTCCCGATGTCGGGATTAATGTTTGTTAAAATCATGGAATTTCAATGTTGTATCTATGAACGTCGAGACGGTGCCAATATGGGAATAACATCCTGTCCTTGGTACCAGGATAATGAATCATCTTGTGTATACAGAACCAAGTCATTGAGACGAGTCGCGCTTTTATCTAAACCTCAAACCTCGGCAAGCAATTTAAAAGCTAAATAAAGGCTTTATATATCCTCCTCAAAAAAGAAGAGCGGTGATAAGAGCGGTAAAATCTCATTCTTAAATATATTTAAAGCGAGCTAATTCGCGATGTTTTGATCACTTCTGGATTTTTTTCGACTATGGTCCACAAGACATTTTCAAAAGTTTTTGCGGCCCGCCAACCTCGCAACCTTGGACCACCCTGCTTTATCACATTTCAGAAGAGGGGGAGGTTTGACCTTGAAAAAAAAAACTGACCCCCAATTATCAATCTGCTAAAATCATGTATCTTTCTATATGTGCCAGTAGGTAAATGTATGCTTCCAATTCCTTAAACTCATTCAGATTAACGCTATATTATATCTTCACTTCGGGAAAAATAAACTTTTTAATAATTTTTTTATCAACATTTTTAACCCAATAAAATTACAGGGAAGCAACTGGGGAAAATGTCTTCGAATTATTTTAACACCAATATTTTTGTTTTTCAGAGGAGACATCCGGTGAAAAGAAGAGACAGAAACGGGGAGGAAGAGGGAACGTTAAAGCAAAACAAAAGAAAGAACCGGATAAAGTTCGAATCGCTAAGATTCCGAGGGGAAAGAAAAAATTTGTAACAAGAGTTCAGGGATTAGGGACATTCGGTGAGAAAAATTATGGAACATTTTGTTTTCCTGACATTGTAGTTCTGGACCTCCTGAAGTATGCGCACCAAGATGGCGCACAACCTGAACTCAGGTTGTGTACCAAGTTAGGGTTCAGGTTGTGCGACATCTTGGTGCGCATACTTCATAAGTACCAAAAATTGATTCAAGTCTTTGTCAATACTAAGCATTATAATTAAACCATCGAGTGAGTATATGTCAAGATTATATCTGGTTATCTTCGCCAATTAGAATTTATTTATTGGTGAGCAATTACTTTTGAATCCTAATTGTCAAATTAGGACACCCTCTTCTCTAATGTAAATTTATGTCTGAAAAATGATAAATTGCCTGCCATCGGTAAAAATAAATTAATAGAATAATAGCAAATAACTTGTATCATAAATGATGTGTTTGTTGATGGGGACACAATGAATCTCCATTTCAATCTTTCATTTTTGACGCTGCATTTTTTGGTCGTTTGAATTGCATAGTATGTAATGTTTGTTCCCGAACAGCATCCTTGCATTATACGGATCCACTAGCGCAAATGCATTGAGGAAGGATTGGGAGTTAGGCTCGCGTAACTTTTACTGATAGTTTCAAATAAATAGTAGCTCTTTACATATCATGAGATATCTGGGGTCTGGTATAGTTTAGTACAGGGGTTCCCAGGCTTTTCTCAGGACGACCCCAAAGACAACTTTCAAGTGTCCAGTGCGACTCCAGTTTAATATATATGTATTTTTCATGAAACTTTAAAGAGCCTATTTCACTGGACTTTTGTGTTTGGTCATGTGGTGGTATTAAGTAAAATAAGTTAAAACCAAACAGTGATGTCACAATAAACAACGTGCAGACGATCGATCACCTGAAATCGAGCAAGCTGTTTATCTCGTCGCAACGATGTCGATATAAGAGAGGTCGCCAGCGTCAGTGAGTTTGTTATCGGCGGAGCTGATGCCATTTCGGGCAATTGTAGGTCTACCTTGACAAGCTCTATGACCTGGTTGTGACGTAATTTTTGGATGACATGTCAGGTGGGGGTCAGGATTGACATGTCATGTGCAAAATTTGTTTTGCTTTGCCCACTGGAAGTACTTGTGGTATTATACTATACTAGACATGATAGCTGTAGGTCTTGTTCGGATTGAAAGGTGCAAGTAAGCGTTGTATGAAAAATTTTACCAGAATTTTCATTTTTGATTTACAGATGTCAATCTAAAGAAAGCATCAAAATTATTTGCTCAGAAATTCTCTTGTGGTTCTTCTGTGTCTGGTCCTGATGAGATTATTATTCAGGGAGACTGCACAGATGAATTGTTTGATTTGATACCAGAGACATGGAACGAGGTAAGAAATTTTGTTTAGTGCGGAGCATCAATAAATTGTGAGCTGTCAATAAACTGCTTAGATTGTTTTTTATTCATACATGAGGTGCATGACTATAAGACGAAATGGTTTTCAATTAAAGTAATGCCGGTACTGGTTTTGACTGTAGATAATAAAGCACTACCTGATCCATATATTAGGCGCGCCACCTTACAAGGCCCCTGATCCCCGTTCTGAATGTCAATAAATTGCTTGGACTGGGTTTTCATTCATACATAAGGTGCATCGGGCTATGAGACGCAACGATTTTAAATCAATGCCGGTACTGGATATGAGTGTAGAACAGCGGTTCCTTACCGGGGGCCACAGCACTGTAATTACAATACCACTGTAATTACAAACAGGGGCCATGAGAGCTAAACGACTCCGAAGGGGCCACAGGCTATAAAAGGTTGGGAACCATTGGTGGGGTCGCTGAGGTATGGTAAAGGATGGATGTACAAAACATCTAAGATTTGATAAATTATGTTAAATTTAGCAGTTTGTACCATGGCTTACTGTAAAACAGGCCCATAGGCATTGCTCTGTGCTTATGCTATAGAAAATGTAGGTGATTATTGTGACATCACTGTTTGGTTTTAGCTTATTCTACTTAGTACCACCACATGACCAAACTCAAAAGTCCAGTGAAAGAAGCTCTAAAGTTTCATGGAAATTATATATATTGGCCTGGGGTCGCACTGGAAACTTGTCTTTGGGGTCGTCCTGAAAGAAGCTTGGGAACTCCTGGTGTAGACAATAAAGCACTACCTAACCCATACATTGGGTGTACTTACTTATAAGTCACTCGCCCCCCTTTTGAGAAAAAATAAGATTTAAAGTGCGCTCGTGCTTTGAAAAATACGGTACTTGTAAGAACTAGTTGTATAGCTGTCTGTCGTATGGTCGTTAGTGTGTGGTGGGTCTTATGGATCACTTTGAATTCTTGCCACAACATCCCTGCATTATATGCATACAGATCCATCGCACAAAAGCACAGAATAAGCAGCTGGTCCCCCAGAAACCCAATTGATAACAATAATTTTTACTCTTAGATTGAAGAGGACCATATTGAAGATCTTGGTGAAGTTAAGAGGTGATCTATCCATGGAGAACAAGCTAAACAAGAGGACAGGAGTCGAAAACTCGCTGAAGTCACGATGAAAAAACTACAAGAACAATAAAGTGACTTAAATTAGACATTTTGTCAACTATGAATTATGCATGAAATAAGTTTTTTTGCTGATCTCAGCATAAAATCTTGCAGCAGCTCAATAATAAAAAATGTTTATTCTATTTACTGTGAGATTGTTATATGGTAATAAATGAAAAGCAGGGGTTATTTTATTTTAAAGTTGTAACAGGATTCTTATGAGCAGCCTTCCAGAGAAGAAATGGTTTGAAGAAGTTGTGCAGTCACCTGGATAGCGTTTCAAAAGATAAAGTAATTATGTTATGTAGGCTAGAATAGATCATAGGCTCAAGTGCTCTATACGAAGTGGCTCTACACAGGTCACAGGTCAAGGAAAGACTTCCCAAAGTTGAGCGTGATCCCTTCCAATTTATTAAAATTCTCTGGGAGCCCTTTTTAAATTGGCTTTGTTATGCAAGCCCGTCGCTTCTCTGATTCTATGTGTTCTCTCAAAATTGTGAAATTTATGTTTTGCAATAATTTTAATAATCATGTTTCGAATCATAAGTCTTAAAAGTACAATGGGTGTAGTACTTTGATTAAAATTGTGTACTGTTTAGGACCACCAAAATTTACTGCAAGCCTAAAAACCTCATCGCAAACTATAATCAAAGGGTAAAATTTGACAAATTTTTTTTTTATTTTCTTGAGTTTTAAAAATAGGCTCAGCACGTGTACAGGATATATTTCTCTTCTTTAAAGAGTGTCGATCACAGAGGAAAAAATTGAAGTCAACTCATTTCAGGAATCAAGTAAATACCAATTTTGTTTAGTACGTGTCTGCTGTTGGGTGTTTAAAAACATGAAGAGACTAAAGTTTCATTTGTCATTGAACATCTGGTACTCCCGTAGTATGTGAACCAAGATGGCGGACACCTGAACGTAGTATGTGTACCAGGATAGGGAAAATACTACGGGAGTCACTTGGCTTAGTCCCCGAACTCGTAATAGAACTAAAATGAGGAAAAAAATTGGTTCACATACTACAGGAAGAAGAGTTTTTAACAGAATTCTTGAGCGTATCCAATTTGTTTAATAAAAGGAAAAATTTGTGGTGTTGAAGTTCTACAAGTTTCAAATTAAAAAGACAAACATTTTATAGGGTTCAAATAAATGGTTTCTGTTGGCTATTTATATTTTCGAAAATATTCTTTATGGTTCAAAGTCTTTGAAATCCAAACACTTAGAGGCATAATTTCGAGTTCCACAAAAATGGGGGTACTCCCGAAGTATGTGTACCAGGTTTGGCCATAATTTTATTCCGATTATGAGTTCGGAGACTGTCTGTGTTAGCCCCTGCCAATAATTTCGGGCTAAAATGGGGGGAACTCCCGAAGTATGTGTACCAGGTTTGGCCATAATTTTATTCCGATTATGAGTTCGGAGACTGTCTGTTAGCCTAGTAAGTATACCCCCTGCCCACAGGTTTCAGTCCCTTCACACAAGTTGATATAAAGTAGGTTAACAAAATTAGTTACCTCCATATTAGTACACACACTTCTGGAGCACCAAAATGGGAACCAGAGTCTAAATTTTCAACAAATCGGGAAGACACATAGGTAGTCCATACCTTAAATCTAAAGGACATGCATTCGCTGAAGTTTTCCTGATTACAATTGGGGTCTGGGGACTGAAATCAATTTGTTACCTAATAATCACAAATTTTATAAACACATGGAAATACAACATTTCTTTGATTCTCCATCTCTGAATTCTGACAGTTGTATTTCCATTTCAGGTTTACGAAACACAATTCAAGTAATTATGATTCATTTTTTTACATAGCTTGGTTGCAACGTTAGATATTTTAAGAGATTGTTGATACATTGGGAATTCAGAAATAACTATTTTGGCAAGCTTGCATTGACCAGCTTTCTTAGAATCTGGCCATTCTGATTGGAGAATTATCGCCTTAATGCTTTTATCCAGATTGATGCTTGCAATACTTTAAATAAATTCACTTCTTGTTAGGGCAGGGCATTTTCGAATACCTGTTGGTTTTTCGAATCGAACCAAATGTTTTTTGAAACTAATCTCGAATACCTGGAAAATACATATTGTAGGCAATTTTTCATTGTAATTGGTCTTTCAGACATATAAATTACTGCAAACATCTATCACTCAAGACAGTTTGCTAGCTTTAAGAAGAAGTCTTTAATAAATTATTGATATTGGTGCCAGACTCGTATATTTAATAGCCCAGAATGGAAGTTTGAATTATGACAAAATAGCACTATGTTGACTTAGAATTACCTGAAGACAATTAAAGGAGAGTTGCTTACGCTAAACTTAATCCCGAATCAAATTTTTGTTTCCATGAGTCGTTTTTAAATGAATCTTTGAGCTTCATTATTTGTGCACCCGGTAGTTCTAATGAGACATGGAAGTCTCCCTCATATCATTAATACAAAATGTAATTTTTTATTGAAGGTGAAATTTCGAAGCTTGATAAAGTGTGAATACTAACAATGGACCAATATACTGAACATTAAAGTAATTCGTTTTAATTTATTTAATGTCGTACTGGGATTAGCCGACTTGAGTACAATTTGATCTCTGACTGAAAAGCCAGAAAGCGTGAAATACAGTGTTTTTCCCCGAAAATAAGACCTAGCCTGAATTTTAAGAATAATTTTAATAAAAGCCCTTAAAATAAGACCCAGGCAATAGCAAGAAATCTCTCCCACATTTTTTGAATGATTAATTCAAAACGTGTGAGAGAGGAAGCGTGTTATTTATTAGTAAATGGATATCGGTTTTCACATTCTGTATATTCGAAAATCTTCTAATTCTCTACTTTGTCATTTTGTTTTTGATGGATGAAAATAAAAGACATCCCCAAAAATAAGCCCTGGTGTCATTTTTCAGAAGGAAATTGAAATAAGCCACTGTCTTATTTCCGGGGAAACACTGTAGCAGCACCGACGTTTTTATTTTAGGATGACATTTTCCGAATACAAATTGTACTTGAGTTTACCAGGCCTAAGAGATTAAACTTCTAATATGCTATATTGGTTTTGGGGATGGATGAAAATTTTTCACCAATCATGTTTCAAATTTTTCAAAGCAAGCGCCACTACTGCTATAGTTCTCTTACTTGACACCGGGCTCAGATTGCACTAAAATAACTACCCAGAACATAAGCTTCTATAATAATCTAATTATCAGGCCCCAACATACTTTGGAATAGGACAGGATTTACATATTTATCCCAGGGGACAGGAAAGCCAATTAGACAACTTTATCATATGGCGAACCCAGTCCATGTCAGGTATTGTTTTTGGAGGCATGGGCTCGAATATTCAATCTTATTCTATCCTGACATTCGTTCTAACATGGATTCGCATATACATGAAACCTATACACACAGATATAGTAAGTCAAGGATGTAACTTATTGCTTATTTTTGGCAAGATCTGGGTTCAGATTTGACTTGTCCCAACCCAGAAAGCAATAGGTGTAAATCAGAACAACTTGTGCTAATGTTACATTGATTAATTCTGGCCGGTCATGCTGGGTTGAACGCCAGTCATCGAGAATTCTGTCTAGAATAGCAGCAGGCAAAAATTGAGTTTGATTGGTGTACCTGGGCAGTCCACCTTTGAACATATATGTAATGCTCAAATTAAACTTTGAATTGATGGTTTGCATGTTCTAGTTCAGGGCTACTCAACTGGCGGACCACGGTTCGAATTCAGACCTTCCAAGTATTCGATTCGGACTGCGTCTTATTTTATTTTGGAGGATTGTCTCCATTTAACTTTGGATATGTAAAAGGATGTGGAATATTTTGCGTTTACTCGTTTTCCACAACTCGCGTTTCCTTTTCAACAGAAAAGATAGAGTTACTAAAATATAGTTAGGCACAGTATGAAATACATTTTCTGGCCAGACCGGAACCCAACAAGTTTTGTATATGGACCTTTAGCGAAAATAGTTGGGTAGCCCTGTTCTAGTTTCCAATGCATGCTAATTTCGAGCCCCGCGCAAAAATCTATAACTTGGATTAGTGCAATTCTGCTTCTGTTAAAAAGGAAATTGTAAGCCTTTGCGGGATAATTGTTTTTGAACTAATGTCGCCTCGTTTACACACTGTATTGCGTGACAATTACATAGTCTACCTGCATAGTGATTGGTCGGAATAAACTGGAAAATCCGGTTTTAACGCTGGTCACATCACTTCTTATCCGAAATCAATCCCGCTCTACTTACTTTATCTACTTTGGGAAGGAGACGCGCGAACGCTGTCTCCACTATCATAAATTACGTGATCGAGTTGCTCGCATTTGGAGCAATCGCGAAGGTCAACTGGGCCCAAGTGCAATGGCCCAGCCTCGCCCCGGCAGCACGGCCTGCTTGATCGCCGTAGCTGCATCACCAAGTAAGTATGCTTTACGCGGGCGAGTTTGAACAATAGAACTTCGCAAATATGCTAATATTTGTGGTATATTTTTTTCTCGTTGCGCTTGATTGCGCGTGACGTAATTACAAAAGTGTGAGTCGGTTGGGCGTAAATAATTGCTCTGGCGCGTCAGATGAATGTTCAAAGCCAGCTGTGATTTAACTTAGTTTCTATGCATGTTACGAGGAAATCCGCGCGATGTCGTTGTGTTTTAACGCAACGATGGGCTTTTCACTTCATGGAGTAAATACCGAAGTAGCTTAGTAACATACCTTTTCAGTCAAAAATCGTTTCCTTCTGATTACGAGCAAAGCTCAAATATATGGATACGCAAACTAAACCAAAATAGCACCAGATCTTTCACAGTACAGGTAGTCTGACACTCAGATCACTGAGATGTGAAGTTGTGGAACAAAACTTTTAGGTGGAATGAAAATCCCATAGGTCGCACGGATACTTTTGAACTAAATAAATATAGTCTACTAGCCACTACAACAACTTATAGGTTATGGAATTTTTTGTGCACTTGGCAGCACTGTTGTTAAACAGAAAAGCAATTTCCTCACAACAACAGAATAATCCTTAGGTCCATTTCGTGTCCAAGAGACACTGCATTAAATCAGGTTTACAACTAATAATTTGTCAGAATTGCTTCATCTAATTTTAATATTAGCGTATTGTTTCTGATTTAACTTTCCGTTCAAAACGAAATACGTTCAATCCAGTGGTTCATAAACTTTCATGATGCGTAGGCCCTTTTCAAATATTTTTAACACGTTTACCGTCACAATGAGAATAGTTAAAATCCTATTAGGTATTAACCCATCACCAGGACACAAAACGCTATAAACCGACGGAACATACTTAGTGGTGCATCGTTTTGCGAACACCGGTTGTGCTTCACTTATTATCCATACTAATTAGTGGATGATAGATGCAAGGTTGACTTTCTAAAAAATTCGAGCCTTGCAAACTAAGTCCACCTCTTGTAATCGGTAAACGACTTAAAACGGTAAAATACCGGTAACAACGGTAAAATACCTTCATTATTTATATAGAATCACATTCATGACAAAAAGTTTTTTTCGCGATAACCCACATTCAAAAATAAAATTGTTTAAGCCACCCTAGGTTTTTTCCGCGTGGAATAGGTTTACCTGACCTTTATGACATCACACAGATGTCACGTGCTGCGACGCTACGTCCATTCCCGCCATTTTTCTGTTCAGGCCCGAGGACCGTTTTAAAGTTGGTTTTTATAATTAGATTTTAGATCGAAATGGGCTTTGCTATACAGAAGTATGATAACTACAAGGTTGGTAAGTTGTTTGCTTTTACCGGTATCCGTTCTATTTTCAAATAGACTTAGGCTGTTTTTGCTGTACCGATATCGAGAAACTTGTAGTGTGCGCCCCCAAATTTAGACGCTCTAAAAGTAGTCTATGTGTACCAATATGGCCATTGTAACTAATTTTGTTCGTCTACTTCACATAAAGTCTTGCAAAGGAAGAAAGCCTATGGATAGGGGGTATATTCACTTGGCTAACACAGACAGTCCCAGAACTCGTAATAGAAATAGGGAAAATTGGAATAAAATTATGCTACAGGAGTGGTGACTCTTCTACGGCCATTGGGCTCGGGCCACAGCCCATCTAATTTGGCCACATGGGCCGTGGCCCATCACGCTATGGGCCGCGGCGCCTTCAGGAAAAGTTCAATTATCTTACCAAAATTTTCAATTTTCACAAAATTGTCATTATTCAAACCGAAAAGAATCGAGGTATGCCACCAAATTTTTTTATTACGATAAGCCTTCATATCATCATACAGTCATAAGGCAAAATACCAAGCAACAGAAAAGGATACTCTTGTAGTATGGTACCGTATGTGTACCAGGCGCAGGTTAGGGTTAGGACAAAATCCTGTTCAGATTTTTCACATTATGTGATAAGGTGGCTTAATCATATGCCGAACCACGGCCTCTCGTACGGTTACCAGTCAATGTCGGGTATGGAATTATTTAGCCAGTTATTTGTTCCCAGAAGCATGGACTTAACGGGGAGGAACTGACCAGGGGTTACGTGATCCACCCTATGACGGCGAGCAGTCCAGCAATCCTCTTGCACATACCTATCCCCGGATGAGATTCGAGCCTGTGAACCCAAGCAGGGTAATCAGAAGTGACGTGGCGAGCGTATTCCTAACGCTTAGCACGATGCGCCACACCGGGTAAAGTGAGGCGAAATTCGTTATCGCTGGTATAAAAATCACAAGATCTGCTATAAAATCCCAGACACTACAATTTAATTGAGGAAAATACATATGCATATAAAGTGTATATATCAAACATTCATCTTCAACACCTCAATAGAAGTGGGTTGCCTAATTAATTTAATAGTGAATATAAATAGTATCACTACTCCAAATACCACGGCAATCCATGGACATGAACACGTACGATTAAATATTGTTTTGGTTCGTTTTTTTGCTATTTAAAAACATGGCTGAGCTGTTGCTGCAACACTTATCCCGCTCCATCGCAATGCTGCCACTCATTATTTTGAGGATATCACCAAAGAAAAAACCTTCAAGTCTGCGATGAAATCCCACGTTGTAAAAATTTATTTCAAAGATGAATTGAATATACTTCACAATAATTATTATACATATATCATTATGAACTGGGGAAACAGTCGCGTCAGGCCCCGTCGCTAGTTGTTTCTCTTTAACATCTTCGCCGATGTGAACTCACAATTTTGTCAGAAATATGAAAACCAAACAACGATCTACGCTGTTGCGTGAGAATCAATATTTACTTGTTAATAACAAAGTGCTTCAGTATAGTTTACCAGCATTAACTGGAATGTCGGCCGCTGAAATGATCACAGCGATAAAAAATAATCAGCGATTATGAAAAAATTATGAAATAAAAATGTAGTAAATTTCGAAATTAGTTTTGACAATATTTCACAATCCCGCATTCGTTGAACATATTCGATTGGAAAAAATCGATTTGCCCACCAATAATTATGGCTTATGTAAATACTCATTGAACGGCAATAAAAAATCGACTTGATTAACATTTGATATTGATTTTCACGATTTTTATATTTTATTTCTAAATGTGGGTACTCTGACTATGGATCAATGGTCGATGATTAGTAGATGTTCGAAATAGGACTAGCAAAATATTCACCAAACACCGGCAGGCAAAGAGAGGCGACTGGCAAGCTTCTTGTAGCCGCGGAATTTCGCTGTGAACGACGCATGCTTTTTAGTTTCTTAAAGTCTTACGTTGTCATGAATTAAACTTTTGGCGCACTCTTTTACCTTCACTTGGCAAGCCCCCTGTTAGATAGTTGGATAAAAGAGAGAAACAGGGTGAGAAAATCAATCGGACACTCTCTTGGCAAAACAGAACGAAGAAGTTAAATATCTCGTCGAATGCGCAATCAGTCTGCGATTGACTATCGCGTGACGTATGACATCACGTACTCGGGTAAAATCATCAAAGGCTTGGGCCAAATCCGAGTATCAAATTAAGAGAGATTCGGCCACGAATATGAGCACTAATCTTGTCGCATCCCTAGTGATTTCATGGTTGAAATTGAATGATAATAAACCCGAAAAAAAAGAAAACTACTATACTCACCCAATAAGACGATCCTCCCGAAATCAGGCCAAAAATTTGTGTCAAGAAAAGCGACTTATTCGGTGGGACATACGTTAACTCCATATTAACTCTGGAATTCAATTCCAAAAATATCACTTGGCCTGGCCTTGGCTCGGCGGGGTGGCGCATCGTGCTAAGCGTTAGGAATACGCTCGCCACCGCATCTCTGATTACCCTTCGTGGGATCGCAGGTTCGAATCCCATGCGGGGATGATCATGTGCGAGAGGATTGCTGGACTCCTCGCCGCCGTAGGGTGGTTCACGTAACCGCTGGTCGGTTACGGCTTCCTCCACCATCCAGTCTGGATTTCATGGCCTTTTTGAACGAGAAATCGGGCGTGCAATCAGAAATTCCCGCGTGCAAATAAGAATTCCTGGCGTGCAATTATAGCTCACGACGTGCAAAACAACTGCACTCGCGTGCAACTGACTTTGACATCAGATACCTCTCAATACATCCGCGTAAAATTACCGGTATCGGATAAAAAATACTTTAAATCAGAGAAAAAATGGACGTTTGACCTTTGACCCCAAACATTATTTCTACAGTTTGTCGCTAATTTTGAGAGTGTTTGTGCGACTTTGGATACCGGTAGTGTTCAGTACATCCGCGTAAAATTATTGGATAAAAAATACGTTGAACCAGAGCAAAATGGACATACTTTGTCATTAATTTTGTTAGTGTTTTTACGTAGAATTAATGGATAAAAAATACGTCAAATTAGAGCAAAAAGGACGTTTGAACTTTGACCCCAAACATTATTTTCATACTTTGTCACTAATTTTGGGAGTGTTTGAGCAACTTTAGATACCGGTACTGTTCAGTACATTCGTGTAAAATTATTGTATGAAAAATACGCTGAATCAGAGCCGTACTTGGCCATTGGTGCGGAGGCGATCTTTCCGTCCATAACTATTCTCACGGGATTCCTATTTTCTATCATTCAACACGATATAGACCTTTCCCCGAGCATCGACTTCCTTGTTTACTTCGTGACATTGGCCAATCAGCAAGATGCAAAAAAGGACGTAACAATGAGAGGAATTTTTCGCGGGTCAAAGGTTGGGGAAAGGTCCATGGTCTTTTTGCTTCGCAATATTTCAATCAGACCAAATCTTGCAGACTGGTATTTATCGACAATTGTGGAGTTATAATATTTTGGCATCTTTATATTACTGGATTATTGATTTTAAGACCATTTAAACCGATTTACATTGGTGAGCAATTGCAAATTTTCGGCGTGCAAAATTGATTTCGCTCGCGTGCATTTTTGCGGAGCGCTAGCGCCCTCGGGCGTGCACCTGCCATGGAAT